TTTTCTCACTGGCGAAGTCGGGTTATGCAGCAAATAATGGATGTTAATTTATCCGAAGTTAATAAACTCAATAACTACTGGACCGTTTTTAATAAAAGTACGACCTATGTCAATAGATTCCTTAAGACTTGGAGGGTGTTTATAGCTCATTTTTTCAACCCCATATAGGTAGCTAAATGGAAGTTCATACATGATTTTGTTTTCACCACACGAAAAACATTCCCTTTTTTACCCATTCCCCCACAAAACACCAACTACTAACTAGAAACTGCACATAAAGGTTGTAGATTGAAGCATTTTTAAATACTATAAATTGCACACATAATATCAGTATATATAAACTTTCTAAAACTAATATACAGAGTGTAACAGGAAGACCTGACAGATAAAATAACTTTTGATCTAATCAATATTTTTTATATTTTTTTTATATTTATAATTTATATTCATCATGCGCTACACGTATAATATAAAAATATATTATTCATAACATATCCAATGTTGACTGGCTAATGTCGACATTATCCGGATAATGTTAATATTTCATAATATTTCATTAATATAAACGAAAAATTACACATTAACCAAAACACATGGCTAATGTCGACATTAGCCGGATGATGTCGACATTATCCAAATGTTAACATTACCCGTAACATATATATATATATATATATAATATTATATATTATATAACAATTTGAGTATACTTATTATATTGTACTAGTACAATGGTATAGGGGCTTACACAAAATATTTATATATATATCTTTCCCCCCTCAAGAAAGTCTTAAATACTGACTTTTGAAATAACGTGTGGCGCTGCGAGTGAGGCGGGTCGCCTAAATGGCTAAAATGGCTAAAACACCCCGCTTTTCAGATTTTTCACATTGACTGTAGTCACTAAGAAATTTTAATATCTGGCGTATTATAATATATAGGTCCTATAAAATTTTAAACTTAAGTAATATATTTTGAATTATAATATTTATGTTCTTTTATAGGCCATTAATATCCTAATAACTGTGTTTCGTTGTGTCGCCGACCGATGAAAGATTATCGGGTTGCTACTCGTTTGTCCCAAAATACCGTATCTGACTATTTTTTTGACATTGACAATATGCACATTATTCGGAAACGCCTATAAAACTACACTAATTAGTATAATAGCTACTAAAAATTATTGTCCGACATAATTTGTTTGAATTTGAAACTATAACGTACACAAAACATTATGGACATTATATTAAATAATAAAAAAAAAATGTTTGGTCACAGCTTATATGGTATATAATTATATAAACATATTATTATGATTTATAATAATATAATATACTACGACATGGGTTAGGTTTGCACTTGTTAAAACACTTGAAACAGACAAAACGTACGAATCACTTCAGTTTCCAATAAATAATATTTTAATTTGAAGAACCAGAATATAATTCAAATCGAGCTAAATTGTTCTTAAGATTAACTATACAGGTACGGCGATAAACTACGGTTTAGAGCAGGTGTGTCGATTTTGTGTCTTAATACTATTTTGTTTGACATGCAGCTATATCGACAATAAATATTGAATATAATCGCTTTAAATGCATAATATTATTAGGTATAGATCAATGGCCCAGGTGTATTGTTAAATTTATATATAGTTGCATTCACTGCATACATATAACAAAATAACAGGTAGGTATACAAATATATTATAATGGGAAATAAACGATTTATCGGCCACGTCCTACTGGTATGTATATTATACGGTTCAGTGATGACTTTTAAATATAATTAAAAATTTAAACTCGATTTTTACAGACCTTGGTTTACTCAGATGACAAACACTCAAACAGACAAAACTGCAGAAACAAAATATAAAACCGAAAACTATGCTTTTAAGTTATAACACCCTCGCATCCTGCAATAATTTCTTTCTGATCCTACTAATACTACTGCAATTCGTAACCCTACTATATTATATGTAGGTACCTAATGAATTAACCTAAAACACTGATTTCAGCTGCTTATTGTGATCATTAGGTCGTTCATACTACATTATATTATAATTATTATCATAATATTATGAAAATAACTGAAAGTTGGGTACAATTCAATTAAAGTTTATATGCAATATTAAGTTATACATTGTAATATTATTGTACTTTTATGGATAGAAATTATCATTCAAAAATATAAATAAATACCTACTTAAAAATATGAAAAAAAAATGTAGGTACATTTGATCTTAGTTTTATATTATGGGTAGGTACCTAACAATACATTATACATATAATTAGATAAAATACAATAATTATATAAAGAAAATATATATAGTAGATTTTAAATCAAAATATAAAGTAAAAAAATTAATTAATTCAGCATTCTCAACTGTAAGACGGCTATAGCCTATATTTATACCATTCTATGGTAAGGCGGAAAAAGTTATTTGTCTGGTGAACATTCAATGTCGAAAAATTTTGAACTTCAAATGCTGATAAAAAATGAATATGCCTTTCCGAAAAAACTTTTTTTTTATTATACATAGAAAAACTTATAAGGAAGCTTGTATATTAATTTTTCAAATCATAGATATGAAATGAAAATGTTTTATCAATTTCTAACTATAACTAGTAATTAGTATCTAGATCTATCTCTAGATACTATAGTTGCACTTGCCCCGTTTCCCCCCGCACAAGTGACAAGCTCTTGTCACTCATGTTCGGCTCCCCGTCACCCCGCCACTGCCAAGCCAGTTAGTTTTCAGTCCATTCTATCCTAGTTCATAGAGCCTGCAGTGGTATCATTTGGGAAGAGGAGGCAACTGGGGAATTTGCCCAAGTCTAGTATTTACATCAACCTTAAGTCGGCACATTTACCACACCCCGCACCCTTAACCACTATGGCAGTATGCTATGAGAATCTGAGTGAAAAAAATTTTGAGTCCGAAAAGCAGTGAAAAGTTGCCATAGTCTAATAAAAACTAAAATTACGCCACTGGTGCTTGGTTTTAGATACTTATGAATTTCCTAACTGCCTAATGGCTATTCCTATAGATACACGGACTCTGTGAACAATATATAATATGTACATTGTGCAACTATATAAGTGACAGCAGCAGAGTGAGTCTTACCATCCTCATCCTCGGCTGCAATAGATTGTAGTCATTCATAGAAAAAAGGCGATAATTTATCGGCTCGAAAGTTTTATACGGCTCGCAAATATATGCCAGAATTTCGTCACACTGTGTATTACCATATATTATGTACCTATAATACTTATAACCTATCCGTAGATACTCCGATACTTGTGGACCACGACAATTCCAAAACTATTTGATAGAAAATTGTCAGGATAAGACGATCTGGAGAAAACGGGTGGTGATGACATGTTTTAACGTTTCCTTTAGGCCATAACTGACAGTTAACAAAAATAATTCTGTATTAAGCACTTAATTTACCGCTAAAACTAAATTTGTATATTTGTGATTATAGTTGTTATTTGTTTAACTATATTGTTATAATAAACCATAGTTACTTTACTTGGGTACATAAATTACAACTTACAACGTTCAAATTCGAAAGTGGAAGTTGAATTTTTATTTCACTGCAAAATGTTTTGTTCATTTATTAATCTTCGTACACACAATTTTGATAGAATATTGTGTGGCAAGGCAGGGAAGTGAACCTACGGCTCGTGCCACACACGTCACGAGCGACTGAAATGGCCTTCCCGCGCGAGCCACACATACTATTTTTTGTCACGCCTATAACGATATGCGCGTCCGGCACTTTTGGGGATTTCCACTTTACCGCCCATCACTATTAGTGATTCCCACTTTACCGCAAGCTGGACGGAAAAAGGACGGTATCGAAAACCAAACTTTCGGTGCAGGTGTGACAAAAAATACCTTTAAAACCCACATATGCTTATATAGCTATATCGAAGTAGTTATATAGATACTTTATGACGTATATGTGTATTGTGTACCTACTACTTGTATTTATATTTTATGTCGAACAAAGAAAATAGAAATTACCTTTATGTCCTATATTTTAATAATGATAAATTTTAATATCTAATATACAGAAGTACACTCGATTCATAAATTCGCTTTAATTATCTATTTTTCAAATTGTATAAAATTGAGTTGTACACTTGTACCTACAGCATCGAGTGATGTATTTTAAGGGGAAAAAAAATTGAGTAGTTTTAATGAGTAAGTAGCCAAGTAGGTTAGGGTAGGTACCTACTTATTAGACAATTCCGAATGACATCATAGAGCCATCGTCCTTAAAACGTTCAATTATTTTAATTCCAAAAAAAAAAATCAAAATTCGTGAAAGGTGTGGTAAATTAAACCATTATCCATAGGTATGCATAAAAAATGGAAAATCACAAACTTCAAAAGGCTATATCTAACTTAAAAATTAAAGATTTCCGTGGATTGTTTTTAACTTCTTAATATAGGTACGAATATCAATAGGTACATTCCAAAAAAAAAATCGTCTGGGAAAGCAGTTTTGTACCATATTAATTTATTATAATATCATCGATTATTATTAATTTTTATAATAATCAATGCTAATATTAATATACATACGATCGTCCATCTTATACATTGAGATAGATACGTATTCTTTTCATATATTATTATGTGCTTATATCATGGACCATACAAGATATTAAGATTATATTAGTCCGTGACTTATAAGTTATAACAATAATATTATGATCTAAGCTTATAGTACTCAGCACAATATAAGATATACATATTAAACCATGTTATTCAGTTTCTTATCATTTTCAATCTTACAGTTTTACTTTGGCAACACTGACGTTTGAAAATATTATTGTTTGGATGTTTAGTGTGATTATGAATTGTGATAAGGATAACTGATAAGTAGTTAATTAATTCACTCTTGAATCCGTGATCAAGCCGGTTAAAATTTAACATTTATTATTTGTCGGTATTTGGTTGACCTAATAAACAGTAATCCAACAGGATGGCTAAACATCATCCAGACTTGATATTCTGCCGTAAACAACCCGGCGTTGGTAAGTTTAGTATATAATTTTTATAATATTTTCAAATCTATAGTCTACTAGTACAATAATATATTATACTTTTTCGTTTATTTAACTCATTTTACCTTCTGTGACAGCTATAGGACGATTATGTGAAAAATGTGACGGTAAATGTGTAATCTGTGATTCATATGTCAGACCATGTACATTGGTGCGCATATGTGATGAGTGCAATTATGGTTCATACCAGGGTCGATGTGTTATATGTGGTGGACCTGGAGTATCGGATGCATATTATTGTAAGGAATGTACAGTTCAAGAAAAAGATGTAAGTTATATTTCAAATTGTACTACAAGTTTTATAAATAATTCACGTTCATAATATTTCTTTTATTTCAGCGAGACGGATGTCCAAAAATTGTAAATTTGGGAAGTTCAAAAACAGATCTATTTTACGAACGGAAAAAATATGGGTTCAAACGAAGATAGAACTATTGTATTTTTGTCATTTGTAATTTTAATAATGTATGCTATTATTTTAGATTAACTTTTAAAATAATTAAAAAATTAATTTCATGTTTTTATTTTTGACTCCAGTTTAAATTAATATTTACTGATTCAAAATAAATCTTTAAGTAAAATTACTCAAAAAATAATAATTAAAAAATATTTCATCAATATAGCATTGTATTCTAAATCATTATATAGTATTATATTTTTTTTTACATCTATTGTTGTGCATAATAACAGTTTAATGAATACTCATCAAATAGTGGATCTTTTTTTACCACTCCATACCAATAACCAATTTCAATTAATAAAACCAATATACTTAAAATATAACCAGCAACCAAAACAACAAATGCCCCATAAAGTTTTTTTAAGTCCATAAGTGCTTTAACTTCTTCAATTTGTTGTGGTTCTTCAAGTATTACTGTGTCCAACATAACATCATTTAACCATTTTTTCACTAATCCAGCTTCTATAACTCTTCTTAAGAATCTGTCAACTGCTGGTTTTAATGGAGAATTCTTTTGTAATCCTAATGATATTGGCATATTTATTATACATTTTGACATTATATGTAGAGTAAAATCTCCATTACTTGTACCATTCAGTGTGCCTTAAACAATTCAATTGAACAAATATTAACAATAAATTAAAATACAATTGTGTAAATTAGTATTAATATTATACATTATACTGTTAATGCACTAAATGTGAATTTCAGTCTTCAGTATAATTACTAATTTGTGTTGGGCTAAACCACTAAACTTAATAAAAGTCAAGCAATTATGATATAATATTTTATTTTATATTACAATTCAATTTTTCATTATAAAGTAATTATTAATCATATTTTTTTTTTTATTGATATGTTTTTAATTTTGTAACAATATAATAATATATACTCTATTCAGGATAAGAATGTTAACTGAGCCCCAGCAGTTACCTTAGATAAGGTTTCGTAAATATTATAAAATATATTATACTACTATACTAGCATTTGCTCATAGTTTATACCATTACCGTAGAATAAAGATAACTGCCGGTGGCTCAGTAATTATGAACAAATTTAGGCATTCTAATCCCGAATAGAGTATATGAAACATTTTCAAATTATTATATAAAAATTTAAGAGTTTAATGAAACACATAAATCATTTAAAACTAGAATAAGATAAAATATTTTTAAATACCATTAATGAACTGGGAATTTATTTCATATGTTTTGGTATTTTGCATCACTTTTACATATCTCAAGAAGTGTATATTATCATAGTATGCAAATTGTCCTTTAGATACCAAATCAATAGCTTTATCGACTTCATAAACTTCTTGAAACTTTTGACCAACTCTTTGTCCAGTTTTATCTAGAGATGTCATAAAAAATTCTTTTGATTGCTCTCCCCATCCTCCACAATTAATGTTACTATCAGCAAGAGCATCCAATGTATCAATTGTAATCCTGTTATTTACATGAAATTGTAAATGTATTGATGTATAATAATCAGTGGCGCATCTAGGATTTTTTTAAGGGTTTGTTACCAATATATATATATATATAAAAGCTAAAATATAGTTAAGGTTATAAAAAACAATGAAGACCTTCATATACAATATACATTATACATGTACGGAAAAAAATTACATAAATTATATTTTTATACTGAATTATAAAATAATGTATGCATAACATGTGCTAAAGAGGGTGTCGTATACTCGTATCTCTTAAAAACTCCCTTTGTATACGCCACTGATAATAATTAATGAGTATTATCAAAATAATTGTATTACCTTGTATCTGGATTAGCTAGGATTGCAGTCATGCTAGCTTTATAAGCAACTACAACTAATAAACAGTACATCCACCACCAACCTGTTAAAATTCTTATGGCCCATCCACTGGGTACTTTTGGCAATGATACAGCTACTAACATCCCATAAGTATATAAAATACTATTCCCTATATCCTCAAACAAGTATAAACCAATTACATCTTTGTTTGTGAGTTGATTCAATTTTTTATTTTTTATATGGTTGTTGATACATTTTTGTTGTTTGATTATTTTTGGTTTTTCAAATTTATTTTTTATCATATCTATAATACTTTTTTTAATTGATTTATTTTTTGTTAGTAGTTCAGGTTTCTTTTCTAATATTTTTGTCTTCAGAGTATCACATTGTATCATTTTAATTGAGTTTTCGCTATCTTCAATATGTTTGTGAGCTGTTGCAAGGGCATAAAACAAAAAACCTCCAATAAGAAGTGTAATAAGAACGCCAACCCACATATTTAATCTAAAAGGAATTATGTTTAAATATTAATTTATTAACATAATTTATCAAGTACTTTTACCTAAAAGGAAGAATCAATGTTTTCCAGGAGTTATCAGTTTTTGATTCAAATGTTAAGAATGTTAGACATTCCGTGTTGTAAGGAATGGATAGATCTAAAATATTTAGATGATATGGTGTGTAATGTAAATTACCCAGTGCCAAATCAGCACGAGCAGACCATACTTCTCCTAGCAATCCTGATATAGTTCCATTCATTTGCTTTTTACCCCATTGTTCAGTACGCCAATTTATTGGTTCATAAATGACTGGAATAAAATTCATTGCACTTCCAAGTGATTTAAGAACCTAAAACAACAAAACTTAAAATATTATTTTAGAATTGATACATTTTTATAATTATACCTCAATTTCTAAACCCTTCATATAGCCAGAATTTTCTTCATTTTCATTTATTATTGAATTTTTTATTGCAGATGGAATATAATTAAAAGTAACTACTTTAAGTAAATTTCCTTGTAGATCAGAAACTTTGTCTGTGTATAAATCTGTTTTTTTTTGAAAATTTCTTTTATTCCATATGTCTAGTCTCAGCGTAACCAATGCCCCTTTGATAGGAGCAGGATATGGAACAGTGGATAATTCATACATTTCTTTAAGACGATATTTTCTAATAAACACAACATTTATAATTTTTGTCCATATAGTATGATGTTGCTTTGTAAAAAGTCTACGATCGTGTAATAATATGAATTTTGTTCTAGAATCCAACATTCTATGCCTGAAAATTGTGTAATGCTGGTACATTTTTTCAACTAATTGTTGTATTTACATTTTATATAATTAATAGTTTTACCAATCTACCAAAATACATCATATAATATTTATAGTTTTAACAAAAAAAAAAAAAAAAAAATATGAACAAATGCTAAAAAATGTGTTTAGAAATAACAAATCAATCAGAAATCAAATGTTTTTTACAAAATGTATCAATCTTATGTCGGATTTTTTAGCCATTTTTTATTAATTATAATTTTATTTTATAGTTATTTGTTCTTAATTTTTTGTTGTTTCAAGTAATTCAGTTGATCAAACATATTATACATTTATAATCTATTGTATTTATGAAAATAAAAACAATTTTATATATTTTATATTTTATTAAAAAAAAATAATTTCATATTAAAGAATAAATAATATAATATTATTAAATTCAATATTATTAATCAATAATAAATTATGAAAAAAATGGGGGGAAAATGTCAGCATTAAAAATATATCGGGAGGGGGGGAATATCCTACTAGACCGAAAACAGTCGGAGGGGAAATTACATTTTTAGATTATATCATTAAATCATTTACTTATCGCTAAATTTTAGTAATCTCATTGTTTGGTCAGCATTTAGGATAAATATTATATTCATGTTGCATCCTTCTTTTCTAACATGATTTAAAATTTGCCAGGTTCGAAAATTTGGAGACATTAGATCCTCCGAGTCATCAACTAATGTCTGTAAATTATTTTCAAAAACTAATAATTTAAATAAAAATGTAATATAAATTATTTTGTTTTTGTATTACTTTAAATAATGGTATTCCAGAAACTGCTCTATAAAATGCTTTATCTAATATGCCATCATGAAAATTGTCCAGTATTAAATTCAAGCAGGTAGCCGTATCTTTCCATTTATACGTTATATCAACAATTAAATTTTCAAATTCAGAATTCCATTTTATCTCTTTATAAGGACTTTGAAACAATTATAAATGTAAAATTGATTAAATATTTATCATAAAACAAATAAGATAACTATAGTACAATACTATATTTTAGACATACTTAAATTTATTTGTATTCGCAGAAGATGTAGCCGATATGTGTGGTTTAAAAATTATGAAGTACTTAATAAAAATATAAAATATAGAAATATTCATATTATTTTAATTTATTATTAATATTAGATAGAGTTTAAGTTTTACTTTAAACAAAACTTTATATTTTACTTTTTTATAAAAAAAGAATTAATTTGACATAGGCCACTTTAATCACTATAACATCTGTAGCTTCTGTAGTCTGTACGATTTGAAAGTATTATAAATACTGTATTACTGTAAACAAATTTCATTACAATCCAAACAAATAGGTAACTAAAAAATAATTGAATATAAAATTAGATTGAATTACCCAGTTACAATGAAACGATCGCGTGTGTAGGTACCTACTTATTTTATATTGGAATATTGTAAGTTTCATGAATACATTATTATTTTCAAAACTAATTGATTTAAAAACGTAGACTAGGATAAATGCATAACGAGGGCGTGGAGCCCAAACCTATTATTCGCTAGACGATTTTGATAACCTTATTTATTTGACATTTACTTAAACAAATAGATATACTTAAATATTATGGTAAATTTAATAAATATGATTTTATAGGTAGGTATTTTTAATTTTTTTTTTTGTGATGATGATAACTACTAAAAATACATTGATCTTACAATTGTGTTTTATGTCTCGGGGGATTCGATACCGTGATTTTCTGTTTTCGTCTAACACACACGAGAAGTAGAATTTTAGACGGGTTCTTTGCCATTGAACCTTGGTAGATAAGTCATTCATAATCGATATTTTCTGCAGTGTATAATAATTAATCAATAATCATTTCTAATCATATTCATATAAAACCGAATACGTTTAAAAGAAAAAAAAATATTTTTCATAATTTCATTAAAATATTTCATGAAGCGTGAAATTGGATTAAATAGAAGAACCTTAGATTCTTAAAGGGGGGCCCCACCACCCTTCACCACCACCAACAGTTGAAGGGCGGCGATACAAGACGTACCTACAAGGAAAAAATGCAATGCAAATTAGCCGTTTAGCCAATCTAGCTGCAGGGATTTTGATAAATAAAAGATAATTGGTACTTAGACATTTAGGTACATATTGGGCACATCGCACATTTCTCCATTTTATGGTCGGATTAATAAAATTTAAATATTTTCATCGGTGAGTTTTAATTTTTTTTCCCTTTAAACGAATGAAACAAAAATATTATACAGAAGATGGAAAGGAACATAATATACATATTATGATACAAAAGCGTTGACCGAAACGTCCAAAATTAACAACTTACAGTAGGTACAAGTCATATTTGATAAAAATTAAACGCAGAGTAGGTACCTACTAGTTGAAAGTTGCAGTTTGTAAGGTGTAACTACAGAACAGTGAACACTGAAACGCCTCCTGCCGAGTGATGCAGAGGCGAGAGGAGCCGAGTTGGCAACAATCCGCAGTGGCGCAACTTTATAATAAGGGCCAAGGACCGGGCGCCGACTATTGGGGTGCTCAAGCACCCCATAACCTTGTAACCAACTGTACAGCAGAGTGACATCCACTTACTCTATTTTTTTATTTTACTTACAAGTTAAACAATTTTAGGATTTTGGGCCCTAGGGTCCTGTGAACATTTCCAGACTGGGGCTAATAATAATTAAAAACAGTCATACCTTATTAGAACTCTAAAAAAATATTGTTTTCTCTCATTTCATAGATAATAGTTATTAGTCATATATACCTAATTTTACACTGGTTTTTCGCATGAATTGCGGAATAAAAATCCCCGGGAAAAAAATCCCCAGACTACAATATTACTCACAAGTCACAATACCACATACAAATGGTTGAACAAATATTTTTTAAACGTTAATTAGAAGGTATCTATAATTACCACATTGTTAATATTTAATTACAAATACGTATATTATATTATATATTTATATTATACTATATTATATCATTCAAAAAAATTATATTTTGTTTTAAATTACGATGTTAATTTTTCAAAAATTATTTATAGTATTATATATATTAGTTTTTTGAATGATGTAATATAAGTACGTATTTGTAATTCGATATTAATAATGTAATATTTATAGATACTAATTACAGGTCTAAAAATATTGGTCAAGCCATTTGCATGTGCTGTGAGTAATATTGTAGTCTGGGGAATTTTTTTTCCAGCGATTTTTATTCCTATTACCTTTTTGCATAGGTAGGGTACTCGTAATCGAATCCTCTAAACTCAAAAAAATTAAAAACATTAGTAATTTATTGATTATAAATATTATATTAAACGAAGATAAATAATATACTATCAAGTATAGTTACAGATTATAGTAGGCCCCCCCAAAACACGGGGGCCTGTGAATTGTAACAGTGCACACTACAACATTCACATAATTGGCGTCACTTTGTTACAAATAATAGAGCACAGTCACTCACGTTAACACGAGGGCTGTTCGTGTGCATGTGCACTGTTATAGATGGGTCCACTACTAATGGCGTGATAATTACTAGTGATTACTGGATACCCTGATCTTAGATATCTAGTTACAGTCTACAGATCAGTCGATCAGATATTCAGATATAAATTGTTTAGTAGTTGTATAATATTATTATAATTTATTATTTATAACTTGAGGATGTCAGAGCACAATTTGTTTTCTCTCTCTAGCCCACGCACAACATAGACAAAACGCATAAACACGGAATCATTTTTTCTATGTTTTTAAGTAATCTTAGAGTAAAATCACCAATTACAAAAAAGATAGAGAACAATATTTTTTTGGGGATCACATATCGATTTTATATTTTATTGTTATTTGATCTTGTATTCGATTTTCATAATAAACAAAAATATGTTGTAACTGTCTTGAGACAATATTTAGACCAATCGATAATATGTCATTCCCTCAAAAATATTATTCTCTATCTTTGTTGTAATGAGTGATTGTACTATAGATTACTTAAAAACATAGAAAAAATTATTTTGCGTAAATTCGTTTTGTATATGTTGCGCTGAGGCCAAAGAGAGAAAACAAAATAGTGCGCTGACATTTCCTTAAAATAATTGTTTGGTGAACGTCGCGCGCGGTGGCTGTGACTCGCGCCCGTTAATTGGCCACACTGTATGGCGGACGGCGTTCGCCCAGTGCGTACCAACCTCACAGGCGACGACGGCGGCGCTTTTCCCGTCATTCGGGGCTCGGGCTGCTGCAGCTCCGTCGCGCGGTTATTACCGTCGCGTTCACTGTCTACGGTCGTCGACGACTGACGTGCGCGCGAGCGAGACAGATAGTGCGTTATTTTCTTTTCCATCCTTTATTATTATTATTACTATTTTTTTTCTCTAATACTACTACGTGCCCGACCGAAAACCAACGACGGCGACAAGTGAGTGTGTGCGCGCGCGTTCTCTCCCCCGTATCCGTCCGACCACCACTGACGTCTCTCGCAGTCTCGCGCCCGTGTGTGTGTACGTGTTTGTATATGCGTGTGTTTGAGTGTGCGTGTGTTTTGTTAAATCAATTGCCCTGTTCGCGTTATCGCTCCGCTGCCGTCGCCGTAGATCTCTTCGTCTTTGCTCGTTCTCGCAGCCGTTTGACGCCATCGCCGTCACCGACAGTTCATCACAGCTATATAATATTCGATCTCAGAGCACCGGTCCGGCGGTGATGTCGTACGCTAGAGGCACGGAAGATACGACGTCGACTGGGCAGACGTCGCCGCCGCCGTTAACCCGTCCGCGCGTCTGATCGCCAACGATAATAGTATTATTCTCTCACGCGCAATCGTGTACTGCCACCGCACGGGCCAATGATCTACGCTCGCGTCTCGTGATTTATATATAGGTATATAATACAATAATACTTCGGTTTTCAGTGCGTGTTTTTATTTTTTCCCCACCAAATTATTCATTTTCGATCATTTTTGAACGATGTGACGAGTAGAGGGTTCCACCGATATTTGTTTTCCGTTCGCGATGACCGGCCGACCGGCGTTCGACGGGTCCAAGTTTGTTGTGTGCCGGACGACTGACGTGTCGTGATAACATGGAAACGGATATTAAGCAGCAGCGTATCAAACGCAGTAAGCGCCGGGAACGGGCTCAGCGTATGCACGCTAAGAAACATGAGCTGGACAGTGGCGAAGAGGACGAACTGTCCACAAAAGAAAAGGCGCAGAGGCCCCCGCCGCCGAACCGCAGGAAAAAGAAGGAAACCACACTGTTCGACGAGGACGTTGTCGACGGATTTGCTATTCTTTCTTTCAAGTCGTACGAAGATCTTGAAGTGAGTGATCACAACTCTTATTATATACGTGTAGAGCACCTTGTAATGTACTTGTTACTTGTGTAGGCAGTTGTTTTATTAAGTGTACGACATGTACCACCTATGTGATATGTTATCTGTTGACTCTTACTGATGGTTTCAAAAAATGTATAGTCTGCTTGGTTTGTTTGATGCTGAATTTTTTATTTAACTTTTAAATATCATAATTCTCAACAAATATCCAATATCTGTTGTATAAATTTGTATCTTAATAAGTGTTATTTGTGTACATGCAAATGTTGATCAAATGGTTTTTAAATGTGATAAGACTGCCTACAGAAAAATTATTTATTTGTCATGAAATTGTTTTGAAATTACTTTCTATTGAGTCATATTCTAAATACCATTGATTTTAAAAATATATACCTATTCATATATAGGTAGTATTTGTATATTATAAAATCAATAGGTACCTATAAATCCATTTCTCAGATAATCTTTTTGACATTTTGTTAAATTTAATTTATATCCATTTTTATCTTGGTTCCTACCCCGGTTCCTACCTAATAGTTATTTTTATAGTGGGTTAAGAAACTGAAGCACAGTGTTTTGACCTTGTAGACTGAAACAGCACAGCAGCATTGATCCGTGCCTAGTTGTTGTAGCAAAACCATACATTAACCCCAATTTATGCCGTGTCCAGATGCTGCAGGTGATTTATACCATAACATGAGTGTTATTCAGTACCTACCTATACAATATTATCGATTTACCTACTGATACAATAATATATAGCCTTGATTCAAATATAGGTCCCTACTCATTGTTTTAATCTTAAATTGGGTATTGATTAACATTGTTTTATTGACAGTAATGTGTTATATATCGCTTGTATACGAGATTGTATATTAGTATGTGATTAATTAATTTGTATTGTATTTAATATTTATGTGATAAGGTATCACATAGAGGTATATAACAATAACAATATAATATCTAGATAAGTACTTAGGTACCTGCATGGCTGCATAGCAAACATTAATATTGGATATTATTCTAAAATTAATACCTACCTATGTATCTGAAACTGATTAAAATCTGTTATCTTTTTTTATCATATAATTATTGTTTTAAAAATGCTAAATTTGTCCATTATACACTTATACCTATTTACTTTGGATGAGTTAAAGTAATGATATTTTAGGTCCTATTAACAATCTACTACTGGGTTAGGTTAATGATGAAACATTTCTTGAAAATTTCTTTATCAAACTGCCAACTGGTATGTTATTTAGTTTTCAATGTAAGAAACTATGTCTTATTTGTTAGGTAACATTATCGTTATGATTTACCAATAATTGGGCTTATCAATTTAAATAAATACTATCGAGCATAGGTAATAAATTTACAAACATCACGTTAAAAAAAAAAAAAATATATTTGAAGAATTTTTTGTAGGGTACCTACCTGTCTGTTTTTGAAAATTTCTAGACTATTTTTCACATTTTTTTAAAAGCAGATTTTATTTTTGAATATCAAACTGATATTATATATATCAATGTTTAAAATGTTTGATAAACTATTACTTAATAAGTACCTACCTAGTTAATACTAGTGTATTGACTAGGTATTTATTGTTACTTTTTATTATATAATATACATTGTTTTATTACTATATTAAGTCCATATTGTTATAAAAAAACAAACTGTACAAATTAGAATATTATCCATAGATGTAGATATAGCAAGTAACCTATACTCGGTCCAGGCAGAGAACACACCGATTTTGCGTATTGTGTCAAGTGAGAATGCGCGTATAAACCAATTTTCTTCGGGCCGCGGTGTGTTCTCTCACTAGATAGAGTATAAAAACATATTCATTTAGATTTTAAATGATTAAAAATATATATGGTATCTAATGGATTTAAAATTGTAGCTTATTCTAATATATCTTAATATAGTACAACTTGTCCTCGAAACAGGGTATACTGTATAATTAAATTACCCATATTACTCAATACTCTATGCCTACAAATTTTTTAATTCTCTAGCGGGACATGTCTATTGGATCATCTATCTCCCATAGACAGAATTCTAAAATATGTTTAGGGTACTGAGTAATGTAGGTAACTGAGTTATAAAGGGCACCCAGTTTTTGCGGACCTAAGGTATTATAATAGATACATATTAGTCTGTTATATTAATACTATATTTATAGAAAAACAATATGATGTCTTTGATATTTTTTTAAATAAATCTTAATTAAATTTAAAATATTTATTTAATTATACATCAGACAGTAGGTAGGTACTTATTTAAAGTTTATAGTTACCCATGTATTGTAGGTAGAATTAGATTAAAATATGTAGATGATAGCTAACTTAATTACCAATAGGTAGGTACCTACTTTCATCATTTTGTTTATGAACGTTGATAGTATTTACTCCTCGATTTACTCTTTTAGTAAGCCGCCTAGTTTGTATTTATTACCTATCATAAATTGAACAATTATTTATTTAAAAATTGTAGAATATATCTACTGTCAATGATTTAATTATGTTTAATACTGTTTTGATTTTAATGAATCTGAATTTGTATTCAAGTAGGTATCTATTCAATATTTTATTTACCTGTAGTATCTATCCTAAATAAAATGTGGTATACATTTTCCATAGTACCAATAATAATTGTATATTAAATGGTTATTAAATTTAAATTTGGTAGCTTCATTACCTACAAGTCTTATAATTTGCATATAATTTATCCATATTAATTTAATTACTTGGTTTAGGTATAGTCGTATAGATAACTATTTTAAATTGCTCATAAAGACAAGGCATAAAATACCTACCATTATTTATAAATCATTTATTTTTTTGAATTCCTATTTAATAAAATATATAGATTAGATTCAATAGGTGCCTATGTAAGTTACTATATATTAAATCTCCATATAGAGTTATGTTTAAAATAATGAAATGTGTAGGTACGATAATTAAAATTATATAAATGTTGGTTAATTTAAGAGTATACGTCATAATATCAGAATTAATATTGGTGTTACTTTTTAACTAAGTAGATAGAATTAAAAAAGAAATATATTATACATTAATTGTATATTGTTGGTTACATTTATACTGAAATTATGTTAGATTAGTAGGTACGAATGGTATCTACCTTGATAACCATGATAGTCTAAACTATTACTCAAATTAAATTATTTAAATTAAAAATATAGTTAGTATTTGATTGATAATAATGTTGGAACTAGCTATATATTTAACAATATTTATTATTGGTCTTAAACATAGATCATGTTATACCTAGCTTATAGTAGGTACCTAGTATTAAATTTAAGTTAATTTTGTCTATCTTGATTACTCAATCATCTGGTTAATATTAAGAATACATTATTATGAAATTATTTTAAAATTTTTTAGGACAATGTAAGATTATTTAAATCGTAAACTTTTTGTATTTAATTATAATATTACAATATTGCCAAAATCATGGTGTTTGGTTTTTGATAATACTACTAAATACCCAGGTAGCCACTGGCCAGGTCATCATCCTGACACAATATACAGAATAATAAATGTTATTTATTTTTTGAATTTTTCATTAAATTTCTTTGGCCAACTTATGGATTGAACTTACTTAAAATGAATACTATATAGGTACTTACACACCTTTATATTTAGTATGTACTTTTGTCAATATGATCTACAGTTATAGTACCCTAATGTTAATTACTGCTATTATTTTGTATTTGTATTCTTGTACCAACATGACAATATTTGATTTGTTCATAAAGTTTTACCCTATAGGCTATACATTTTCTTTACAACTTTGAAAATATTCTGTAGAACTTCTAGTTATATAAAATTCCTAGGTGCCTATATATTTGTAATAAATAATACCCTTGGTAATACCTACCTAACCTATTAATTCTACAATTTTTTTAAAATAATTTTTGGTGATAGTTTAATTTTAAATTACCTTTTAAAATCCAACAGTTATGTGATTATTAATATATTTACAGCTTGCTTTATAGAATATTTAAAAATATTGATACTGTAGCATAAGGAAGATTTTTTTCCAGTTAAAAGTCAGTTTATTTATTTTTATGTGTCCAATATTAATCTATTTTTAAAATTTCTTAATGTCTAGTGATATATAAGCATGATAGTTGGTCATGGAATAATTGATTTATTAATTTCATTAAGCTTAGTAGAGGCTTAAACTAATTTTATTGTTTTGCAAAGTTTTAAGTGTTTATTAATTTTCCGATAGATAAGCAATATTGATTGAGTGTTTGTTTTGTCATTTATTAGTATTCAAATAATTTATTTTTGGTTTTTACTATAATTTAATATTAAAATAAAAATATGTTTCTGGGGTTTAAAAATAGAAATGTTAGTTTTAAATGTTAGTCTATTTAATATATACAGTTAATTTTCCAAGAACATTTTTATTTATGTTGTTGAACGATTAAATATATTATACGAGTTGATAGGTAATATTGATTGTTATTTCATAATAATTAGGTATATTAGCTGTACCAAAGTCCCATAATTATTTAGGTTATGTTATATTTAATTAGTGTCTACATAGGTATTGATAATTATTTGAAATTTCAGTTGCATTTTTATTTGCACTTTAAAATATAAACACTCATTTTCAAAAAAATTCTTTTAGTTTCTGAGTGGAACTTGAAGTGGTGAGTACTTACAGAGGTATTTGTTGTACAAGATGTGGTCATTAGTTTGCTTGTTTTTCTTAGAAAATACTTTCTGTGATAATAAAGTGTTCTAAATTATTTTTTAAGTCCTATCTTCCATCAATAGATTATTATTTTAACACTTCAAATTATATTTGAGTAAGTTTTACTTTCCAGTAATTATAAATTTTAAAAAGAAATAATTGTGAGCAATGACACAAACTTAAAACTAAACATTAGAAATATTCTTAGAAATATAATTATTGTGGATTAAAATTTTAAGTAATAATAGGTAAACCACTTTCCTCGGCAAAAAATTGGAAATAGTTAGACAAGTGCCTAATTTGATATAGTAAATTAGTTTTATTATATTAGACATTATCAAAATTCTATAAATACCTAACATTTATTTAAAAATGTGTGTTCACTAGAACTTTGATATATAGTTGAAAGTTGTTTTAACATCTAATTGATGTGTAAGCTAATGTATTCTAATGCTGTAAAATTCTGGATGTTCAGTTTGAAATGTCTATCAAATATTTTCATACAAAACTCTGAAATAGGTACAACTTTTATAAATCATGGATAAGATTTTTTATTTTTATACTTAATTTAAAAAATAATAAAATACAAAACATTTTTAAATGGCTTCAAATATTTAATACCTATCAGTTAAAATATAATATTATGAATTGAAATTAGAAATAAAAATAAATTAGTTTATATTACACAGTCAAAAGAAACGAGTTTTAGTAATATTATAACAAGTTAGTTCAGTTATTTCAAATTTTTAAACTAATATTATCTTTTAAAAATATTTTATATTTAAATAATTGTAGTTATATATATTCTGAATTATAACTCCTATAAGTTGTTGTAAGTACCTACCTATATCTGTATAAATAAATTAACAACAGGTATTCAGTTAATATGTAGTTAAAAATACATTGTCATTTTATGGTTTTGAAATTTATTCTTTTATGTTTTTCAAAAAACATTAAGTTGTGGATATGCATTTTTTATTTATAATGTACCTATCTTTTTATTTATAAGATTTTAAACAAACTAGTTACAGTCTACAGTTGACTATTGGCCTCACGGTAATTGAAAGATTCTTGATATTTTGAAAAACAATATTCTTTAAATACCTATGTCATAAACGCACAACTCTCAAAGTTGAAAATGTTTTAACTTATTGATTGCACATTTTTTATAAATGTAAGTTATATTTTTTAGGTTATTGCTAGTAACCAAGTTAGTTAAGTTTTAAGAATGAGTAATGACTATATTTTGACCTTATATATTATGTATCTTAATACAATTTTATACCATAATTAAAAAAGTTAAGCCCAAACTAGTATTTATAAGTAGTATTATTATGAATAGTTATTAATTATCACTACCTATTAAGTAATCACATCTTTCAACATTTTTTGACGAGCTATTTAATTTGATTATTTTGGCTCAAAAAAAAGAGAAATAAAATCAAAAAATGCCCACTGACTGAGCAGGGAAGTTTTGATTTTAGTATTTTGAAAACAGATCATAACATTGTTTTCAAAAACAGTACCTCTGCCATTAACAAAGTCATGAAATAAGGTCCATTTTGTTTAATGTAAAAACTTTGATTCAGTGATTAGTATATAAATGCTTATGTCCCAATGTACATTTGTAGCTATTATAAGTTTGTTTATGTAATTTGACAACTATACTTACATGTTATTTATTTTTCACATTAAATAAATAATAAAAGTGTATCAGGATTATATTTATTATTTTGATATTCTAAACAATTAAGGTAAATAATATTTTAAGATCTACAGATATTCCATATTATGTAAAAAAAAAACGATTTTGAATCCTTATTGTCTTTGTGAAGTTTTCTTTGGGATGGGATGGGATGATATAAATTAAATATTAATATACTTTAACATACATATTAATTTCAGATAATGCAAGGCCTCTCATTTTTTTTTTTTTTTTTGTGATAGATGTGAATTGTGATACTTTTATACGATACTCTATTTTGTAAAATATCGGGTAATTCGGAACTCGATTAGTTTGCTTAATGTTTTTAAATAAAGGGCAAAGGCGTAAAGCTCGTTTCACCATCTACTGTTTATACTAATCACTTATCAGTAATAACTAATAATGAATAGCTGGGTACGACAGTACGAGTGTCACTACCATCGAAGGAACCCGATATCATTATGATTACCCAGTCATTTTTATCCCTCTACTAAGTTAAGTTTTCCTTCCAAATTATTGTTATGATACGTACGAGATATTGATTATTTCTATTTCTAATCGCGCAACCCAACTGGGAAAATCGTCCATTATTGTAATAAAATAAATAGATGTTACGTTGTTGACACGGGTTATTAACCCTGTCAACAGGCCGAACGTCTCGGATAATGTTACAGTTACATTATATTTGATTTGGATTTGTATTACCCCATATTTTCGGTAATATTTTCGGTAATATTTTCGGTAATTACAAGCATCACTTAAGTTGATATAATATAGGAAGATATGACTTAATATTATTATTATATTATAACAACGGTATTCATTTATTTATCAACGAAATTCTTTGTCGTCCCTGTAGTACTACCTTCGTAAAACCGCAATCGGAGTTGCAGCCTACATGAGACCCGTAGCATATTGTATACAATTTAATTATCTTTGAGACTGACGCATATTAATCGCATTAAGCAGCTGACAAATGAGATCGAACACACAACTACACACACCTGACGATGAAATAATAATATATATAATATAATATAAAATAAGAAAAAGAGTAAGTTGCAGTGTACGACTGTCGTTTGTATTATTAAACGGCCCGTGGACGAAGAGGGTGATGATGAGGTGTGGGTGGGAGGAGATGATAATTTGTCCATGTCATGTTCATCCGTGCGCGTCACGGCGGCGGCGTGCCGCTCGTCGTTTTATGGACCCGAGCCGGTTGTTCCGACGCTAACCCCACCCACCACATCGTCGTTCCTTCCATCACAAACCTTATCGAACAAAAGCGATGACCGACGGTACGGCAGCGGTAGTTCGGCCGTGGTCGGCTACCACCCGATCGATACGTGCTGCCGTCCTCTGAATCCGCCACTCGGTTGGCGGCGAGGAAAAGTCGGCAGCATCTTTATCGCGTTGCTCGGGCGGCGTATGGTGCACAAACTATACGGTTGTAGCGCCACGTGATAGTCTAGACACGCGTTTGTGGTGTTGACGACGACGGTGTTTCTTCTTTGTTCCCGGCAGAGGCGGTTTATTTTCGCTATTCGCGCCGTCGTGGTGTTATATTATAACGATAATATTAAATTCATGCTCATGGAGTCTCAAGATATCATTACATCAAACATTTTTCTGGGTTTTTAAAGTCGTAAAGTTTCATAATTAAAAATATCTAGGAGATTTCGTGGTTACTGGCTAGTTAAGTTTTTCGCCGTCGTCATTAACGTGTCGGCTACGCTTATCGTTAAACTAATGTGGCGCATTTGTGCCTATTAACGTTATTTTGTTGTGTGCAAGACAAACATTTCTGGGTAAAAACGAATATTAAAAGTCAAATACATCATATTATTATGCTTAAAATATGAGAAACACAAAATTGTGTTTACTTGATATTATTTTTACCTGTATCGTTGGTTAGTTTTATATTAAGCCAATTTACCAACTAGAATCTTTTATTTTTCCACATAACTGTTGGGCTAGGTTCTAACATGCTATATTTTATAACGACTTGTTTTATGTGCGTAACCGAGACGTTAAACATCATTGATACAAGACAGGTTTTTTTTTTAGAAAGAAGAATCTTAATGTAAATGTTAAACAGTTTTTTTTTGCTGGCTTGAATATACGTATACGTATTCGTATATATTATAGGTACGCGTAAAATTATTCCGTTCGTTTATTCATTGCATATAACTGGCGTGTTAGTTGAGTTTAAGTCATAATTAAACCGAACTCGACTAAATCCGTACTCTTGTTGGGCTGCATTCTTGTCGACCTTCCACCGATGCAATCAAACTATTTTAAACGTGGAAACCTTGTTATCCGTCAATAATAACTATTAGTAATAGTAGGTATTGCAAAAACTGCAATTTACTCCAACTCTAGTTGTTGATTATAATTTATAAGCTTTGTTTAAAATATAATCTAATATTTATGCTTCATAAAATCCATCAGCTATGGTTTAATACATTTCAGATACCTGATATATGGTATTTATTGTATTATGCTTGTGAAAAATAGTTAAATATTACAATTTGTTTTGTAAAACTGTTTTTCAGTTTTTTCATTATAGTATAGTATTGTATGATAATAATTTACTGTTAGATATTTAGGCATGTTAATGTAAATTTATGTTTTGAATTTTATTCAATAAAGTAATTGTTTAACCAATAACATGCTATTATTAGCCAATATATTGTCATAGATCAATTAGTAGGTACCTCATTGTATAACGTATGATATAATTAGGTTTCAATTAATTCGTTTTTTAATTTTTATATGTATATTTACATAATGACATACCTATAGTGTAATTTAATTCATATTATTATATTATCCTAATTTATTTAAAATAATTAAAAGATATTTAAGAATTCGTAATTTTTGCTTAAAAGTATTACGATTGTTATACCTAATATTATTTAATATGAAAATTACTTTGAGATATTTTGTTTTGTATATTTATGTAAGGCAGTACGTGGTAAATTAAACTGCTGAAACCACTTGTATTTGTTTTTTTTTTTTTTAATTTTGAGTATAAATTACAGTTGTATTAAGGAAATAACAAGAGAGAAATGTGATTAAGTATTCGTTAGGTATGGTATTTCAAAAATGTATGCGACCCCAAGCACTTGTAAAATATGTTTATAATAGTTCAGTGGTGACTGGGTGTGAACAAATATGCTACCCTCATTAAAATGCTCTTGGGACCTTATTCTCATAATGCATAAGCTTTGAAGTAGGATATAAATTAAGTATGTATAACATAAATAAAACACTTGATTTTTTTTTAAGTAGATGTTGAGTTGTATGTTGCATACCTACTGTTAATTCATTATTTTCCAACCTTTTGAAAAATCAAATTGTAGACTACTGGTTATTCAAATTTATTTGTACTCAAAATAACTAATAACATAACGCAGTATTGTTGCATCACATATAATATCAAAATAAGATAACAATTAAAGATTGTAAACATGATAGGTGACATGACTAACAGTTTATTTGTTTTTGATATTATGCAAAATATAAAAGGTAGATAATATAGCCTCAAAATCACATTTATTTATTTTATTGGTCGTTGAAAACAGACATGTAGAAATAGTTTATTTTAAAATTGTTAGTTCAAGATAATATTTATATTAAATGGTCATAGGCATAACGATCATACTCGGTGATCAGTTTAATTAGTTATATGTACTTGTCTTGTAATAGCTATAATATGTAGCAACATTGGTGTTCGTACTTAAAACTGTTAATTCAATTTAAATGTCACTTGAAAATTAAATTCAAATTATACTACTTAAATATTTTTATTTAAAAGGTAAAACGATAATTATTATTAAATGCTAACTATAATTATAATTTGAAATCATTAGTAACGCGGGTCTTAACTTATAAATTTAAAAAGTAAACAGGATACAGACTAGTAAAGTTATTCGGGCACTCGTCTCGCATCGCTGACCTACAAGCAAATAATTGCAGTAATGCAGTATAATATAATATAATATAGTTATTGTTATGTTTTTAAAAGCTATAATAAATTATTGCACTTGAAAAACGATTTTTTTTGTGTAAGGAATATTATGTTAACTAGTTATGTAAAAAATAAAATAAAAAAATTGTCCGGTTAACGATACCTTTATAATTGGGCAATCTTCTCGCTTTGCTTACCGTGAAGCAGGATACTTGTGGGTTCGTGATTATTTCAAAGGTAAGCAAACGATTTTTTACTACCTTCTGAAAAAGGAACTGTTCACAGTTTAAAGCACTTATGGTTGTAAACAAAATAGGTTCTTGCCCAGTTCAGAAAAAAAAAGATTTATTAGATTTTGAAATATATTATTGGCTATTGCGTAAAATAACAGATGATGTATTTTTTATTAATTTTGTTGCACCTAATTCATCCTTATGTAAGTTTGAAAATGTTATTTTGTTACATTTCGTATACCTACATCATACACAATATGTATACCATATTACGAGATGTAGATATTTAAAAATGGGATTTCCGACTGAAAAGAACCCGAAGAAGACTCGTCGTATGTCTTGTATTGTGGTCATTATTGAATACAAAGTTTGTTTAATGCAACTTCTGCATTAATTACTAGGAACAAATTTGATTCCTTTTTTAAAATAATTTTGCGACCACACGATCTTTGAATTAGACACTATATATAGCTTGACTATTTAGTAACGGAATCATTCCAAATATACAAATTTAAATTCCTTGTTAAACTGAAAAATGTTGACAAATGTTTTGAATTGTTGACCGAAATGTAAGGGAAGACATCACGACACGTACCCGAGTTTTTGAGTGTCATAAAAGGTTTAGTTGAGGATGTGGGGGGAGAAAGTAGTAGAAGACCCGGGACATCCTGTATACTAAATCTATTGCATAGAGTACTGTCGAAAATTGCGAAAAAAAATGGAGCAATGTGTGATAGAGGTGAGAAGTATATTATAGAAGGAGAACATAATTCAATTGTAAACTGATTAATATTAACTACAATTTGTATAGAAATTCCGTTTTTACGTAGCCGCAGCACTTCGATCCTACTGTATTGGCTTCAACTTACGATTGATATAGGTACTAACCTAATTTATTTTCTAGAAAAAATGTCTAAGTATAGAATTGGTTCTATACTTGTATACTTTCATATTGTGTTATTTTTATTATGTATAATAATAGCCAATTTTTGTTCTTTCTCACTGATTATGGAATGTGTATATATATTTACATTAATACAAATAAATACATATTATGTTGGTATTTTTATCTTATTTTATCATATAATATCCTCAAAAATCAAAAGAATACAATTAAATTCTGAATTAAAAAATTAGTACCTCAATGTACCAATATGGTATAGGTAGGTGCCTAGTGGCTAAGTATAGTAGTAAGTGCCACTTCACCTTTGTTGTCCATATAGACAGTTAATAAAATATATTTTATTTATTTTAATATGGTTAAGTATAATTCAAAATGTATACTATTAACTATAATTATAAGTAACTGGAATCTAGTGTGTTACCTATAATTTATGACTGATACTTATTGTAGTCAAATAAATATTTATTTTTCAAGTTGAAAGATAATATCGTTTTAAAAAATCAATAGAAAAATTTATTCTTTTGGATTTGGCTCCTATTATTTCAAAATAATTTGAAAGAAATGTATTTAAGATCTATATTGACTGTAAAAATTGAGTTGCTATGTGTTGTGATTCAAAATGAAAAGCTTTATATTTTTATATAATTATTTTACTAAATAAATGTATGTTGATTTTTCAGAATTGTGTGCAACAATGTTTGGTGAAGAGTGCAGTGACTCTTGGGTTAGATCCATCATCTCAAAGCTTTTTACATCGGAATCATCATAAGCATCACCGAAATCATGCACATAACCACAATAACAATAATCATCATCACGACAGTAATTCCAGTACTCCAGTTACACCAGTCAAAACAGAATATAATGTCCCTAGTCCTCCGACAACACCTAATAATTTTAATCATAATAAGGTAAATAGAGGAAATAAATATAGAATTTTAAAAAGTTTCACTATTTTATAAATAATTATTAAATGATTTTAATTGTTGAGAAACGTAAATATTTTTTCAATAGATACAAATCTCAAATACTAGCTCATAGTCAAATAATTAAAAAAACAGCTTTTATTCAGCTTTAATCTATATAAAATATTAAAATGTTTATTTATGATTTTACGGGTTGAATGTTACTTCAATAAGTTTTAGTAAAGTTAACATTTTACTAAATGTTGATTATGAATTATTTTTTATACAGGATTCGTCGTCATTGGATTTAAAGCACGATAGTGAAGGAGGTGACAATGATGCTTCTGTTGTAAATTCAAATTCTGTACAATCCTTTAAAAGACCATCTGGTAATAAAGTATCTACATCTTCACTTAGTCAGAGTGGTCAAAGACGATCGAGTTCGAGGGAACGATTCAGTGATGTAAGATCAAATATCTATTTTAATAATTTTTAATCATAATTAACACATTTTTTTATTCTACAGGCGAGTAGCAATTGTAGTTCAGGCAGGGGATATATTGTAAGTTGTATATATTATTATAATTACTTTTAATTGCGCAATTATTTAAAAATACATATTTGATACTTGCCACATACACTTTAGTAAACTGAGTACTTAAAAAATTACATATGTTTATAATAACATAATATTTAACATAGGTATATTACATATTATGTAATAAACCTAACATGTAGTTACAACCAACTTATCATTTATTTATTTTATACGGATATGAACTGACATTTACACTTACTAAAAAAAAACGAGAATATCATATAATGTATTTATTGTTGACATTACTTGTACCATTCTATTACTTCTTTTATTCTTAAAATTTTATTAAAATAAAGTTACGGTGCGAGTTTTGTACCGATGTGTATTTATTTAAATATTTTTAGAAAATAATTATTGGTTTCATAAAACATGTTAGTTATTTTTTCCTTGGTGCTTAAAGTTACTCTTTGATTTATTGTATTTAAAATGGAAAATGTCTTAAGAAGTATACCCACACGTGTTGTATCTATCTTATGAACAACTGTAGTACACCATGGAAAATTTGCAAATAGGAGTTCCAAAAAAGTGTTGCTAGTTTTAATATTTCAGTAACGGACCATTTATGACTATTATCAAACTTAAAGGCAAATCATTATCTGTGTTCATTATTTTTTTTAAGCCACTTATACCTATGAGCGTAAAATTAAAAAAACATAATGTTGCTTAAATCCAATATGAGAAGATGGGTAATGTTCTTACCTTTAAGTTTAATTCTAGGTCAATTTACTCTATATAATATTAACGCTAAAAACCCAAAATTTGCTATGTTGTCCATTTGACGGAGCCAACACATGCGATTGTGGCATCGATTGTCTTCTAAGAGGATCGCTGCACACTTAATCGTTGTCTCTATACACGTATTTGTACCTACACCTATAACAAAGCGAGCTAAGTAAATACAACATAACAATATTTAAAAATACTTATAACTCGCTTTAAAATTAAAATTTCGATTAAATCCAACCAGAAATCACGGATAACGTTGTGGTATTTAAGTCTAAGAATAGGTAAATAATAATTATTGCACTACATAATTAAATACTAAAAATAAACACGCTACTCCATATTTTTTCTCTTCAAGGAAAATCTATGAATAGGTATTAAATATGTTTTTATTAATAAGTAACCAATGACAACCAAAACGTCTATTTTGCAAAATTGGTTAGAAAAGTAAAATATGTGTACCCAGCCCAAAAACATGTTTATGTTAAAATTGTATTGGAAATACGGAACATAAATTTAGCATTTTTCGTGTGCGTGTGTGTAAGACAACCAAGTCAAAATTTTAAATTTTCATATAATATTCTGACGTAATTCTCCTAGTTGACTTAGCCCGAAACCTAGATTACAATTTAAATTTTGGAAGCACTCGTATTAAAAACCCGTATTTTCACAAACATTTTAATCGTCTAATATTGAAAGTCTCAGCAAGTGTTAAAAATCTGTTTGAAAAACTATTATAATAATTCCTAAATGTTTTATTTTTATGACAACATTCCTGGTTAGGTTTATTCCATACGACCTAGTACCTACTCAATTCGTGTAAATTACCATATGCAAAAAACAATTCGTGTGAACGATATTATTAACTCAGTTTATTATGTTTATAATATTATATATTATAATTTATAAAGTATCAATTATGTCTATTTTGTCTTTTAACACAGAAATATGTATTTTTTTTATTGAAAATTACTGCAGTTTTGGATTTTTTACTAATTGTACGTTTTTATTTTATTTTTAGTGTGATAGTGAAGATGAGGGTGATAAGGTAAGATATTTTTGAATATTATTATTTTAAACAATTAATTATATAACTAATTTAATTATTAATGTTTTTTTTAAATTTAATTTATAATTTGAAATTCTCTAGTAAATATAATATATTTTATGGTTAATAATAGCATAATATACCTTACTCGTAGTCCGGCCCTGCCTATAATAAAAGTTATAACTTATAACATTATCTGTCATGACCCGAGATAGAGGGAGCAATTGGGTGACTGCGAATGACTGATTCACAAACGAAGTTATATAATATAAATAATAAATATATATTCATTTACAGTTAGTAGTTAGTACATAATTTATAGTTATAGGTTATACTACCACTGCTCCTTTTATCATGGATCCAATTTTAATTCACAGGGCCCCGGTCTATTAATCATAAATTGAGATTTTTAAATTAATTTTATTTAAATTATATTATTTTATATACACATTATAACCTAACCTATTTAAACTGTAATGATTTTTTATGCTGTTTTTAAATCTGGGTAAATTATAAAAAGAAACCTAGTATACATTCTGTCGTTAAAACTGCAAAATATTATTAATGATGAATGAATAGTACGTATGATTTATTAAAATTGAAAGACATTAAACGTTAATAACTTTTGTAATCTTGAAAACCAAAAAATATTTTTATACAATCCACCATAGTTACGAAAGTAAAACATACATGGCTACTGGCTAGTAGCCATTGGCTACATAATATTAATAATATAGGGTGCGTATTTTGATAACTTTCAATTATGCTTACGAAATAGATTAAAGGATTTTATTTTAAGTCAGAGCTTAATCAGGCGTTTTCCGTCGGATTCAATAATTATTACTTATTGCTTTATATTTGAGTGGACTAGTGGCCATCACGACAGATCGTCAGCGGAAAACTCCGACGGGCCCGTGTTTTTTTTTGTTTGTGTATGCCGAAGTAATAATAGTAAAAATAGTAACGTTAACTCCAAATTGTACATGTAAAACATGTTATTCAATTGGGATGGACGGTATGGGTTACGAAAACATAAAACGCCGCGTTTTGTGTATTATTTACACGGCGGAATACGTGGACGGATACTACTCGTATAGCAGTGGAAAACGCCACGTATAGCCCCAGCCTTGATATTATAAAGTTGTTAAGTATATTTGATACGCTGTTACTTTTATATAGTGCAATATTGTTTTTGTGGTCTTAAATAATGTGAAAATCGTTGGCGAGGATTGTGTCGAAAATCTCAGTTCTTCACCTTTATTTACATTTTCTTGAGTTCGTTTTGTTCCTTGTAATCTTGATTATCTTGGTAATAAAAACTATAAAATATAATATTATTTTCTCTACGTCGCCATTTAGAGGAGAACAAGAGAAACGACCGTAAAATCTTGTCGGCCCGGGGCCGTTTTGCATTGTCTTCCCAATTCTCTGCTGTATCCGTTTAGTTTTTATTTTCGTCGATTTGTTCCCGGGGAGAAAACCCCTCTTTCTCTCTGGGTGCACACACAAAAGTCTGAAAGTTATCTTTAATGGAGGGGTATGAGGTAAAATCTTCGTTGATGTTTTTCCTTCTGCAAATAATAATAATGGGCTTTTCGACATCCCTTTACAGTGGTAGCGACATGAATATTTATTATAAGTTTTAACACTGCGGGGGCAAAGAAAAATCGTCCCACACACCCACGGCACCTCTTTACTCCCCTTATATAATATAATATGTATAAATATTATATATACTTTGCTGCTTTTGAATATATTGAATTTTTTATTGCTCATCTCCGCCGCCTGGGCATTTCCAACCCTCTCGATCTAACGGCTTCTCAGTACATAGATATTGCGTGAATTTCGTACCACAGACGCGATCGATGTCCGCACGTTTATCGATGATAATCGCGAGCCACAATCGTTTGAAATAAAAAAAGTTCCTAATGCTTTGTATTATTATCGTATTTTTTTTTCTATTCGATGACACCGAAAGCACAGGTCGATATTTTTTAAATAAAAAAAATGATGAGGAAGTGCTAAGGATATATATATATAGTACGATTGCTGGTTACTATACTTTTTCTCTCGCTGCAGACTTGCGGGAATTTTCTCCCATGTTTTTCCACTTTCCCAGCGCATGCTTGTGCGCAAGTCCACCAAAGTTTTTACGACCCTTGGGGGAAATACGAGTGATGGTGAACGGTGGTAACCAGACGGCGGTGTGTGTTCGAAGAGAGACGCGTGCGCGCCGTACCGCGTTTTCCCTTCCCGGCCACCGCTGTCGCATCAACAACAATACGGCGGGTGGCGTGTTCGGCTGCTACCGTAGCACCAAGCACGAGTCACATCAGTAGTCACTTGGTGAGCTTGGCTCGCGCGCCGTCGTGTACGTACGTGTTTACGGTCTGCCAGTCCGTCGCGGTCGTCGCCGAAATCTGATTCACGCGCACGTGTTCGTCTGTGCGTGTTCCTAGTTCGTTTTTTTCCCGCCTATTTATAAAATAATAAAAGTTTAATCGACCGTCATTTCGATCGATCGTTGACACGATTATTATTCCGATCGACACGGAAACGCCCGACGTGTAGTCCTTATAGTGGATCGTCGTCCGACTTAAACACCCGCCCGTCCTCGATCATGCTTCTTTTGAAAGATGCCGCCTTTTGAACACAGTATTTCCGCAACCGCTATGACCGTGGACAGACCTTGTTTCAACGACCGGCCGGTAAACATCGTCCATCGATATCAGTTATATACGAGTGTTATCAGTTATACGCGTGTTATTGTTGTGTCGTTATGATCGATCTCATGGCGCAATAATGTATGCAATATGCATATTATAGTAGTCGCGAAACTTTCTTCTTGAATATTCGTTTATCAGATCATGTATAATATTATGATAATGCTTAAACTTAACCTATTTACGGGGAACAAGCAGAGTATGCGTGTGAAACAACAATCCGCTGTTAAATTTAATACTTTTCCGTTTATGTTATATTGTTTTGTTTTACTTAAACTGTATGTACTTTTATAACCATTTTAAAGCCTACACAGCTTTATGTACCTGCCTCTCTCATAATATGTTCGTAATGCATGCATTTATACCCCTGGTGGTGTTTTTTTTATGCTACCTCGCAGTGCGAGGTGGTTGGTGACTACGGTTCCACTTTATGCGCTTTAATGTGAATCAAATTCCCTTATATAAGAAATAACGATATTACCTAGTTATAGTATAGGTAGGTGGCAGTAATAACTTTTGGGTTCAGTTATATGTATAGTATATTTTATTAAGTTTTGTTACCTATCGCATTCGTATTATCGAGAAAAGAAAAATGTTTTGAGAAAAATAGATTTCGTATAATTATATTTTATTATCGACATGGTCCATATCAATTTTCCCGATTAATAATGATATTGTGTTAATTAGATTATAGTACGTATACCTACTACCTATATCAAAAACTAAATCGAATACGTCAAAATAGTAGTTATGAAATAATAATTAATTGCTTACAAATATTAGATAGTATAGATAATTGATATATATATTTCACCACGAATAATAAGCATATAATATTCTTTGTCTAGGAAAATAATCTAATGTTTTAATCAATATAAATAAGTAATATAATATTTGTACTCGTTTACAAGTTATTGTAACTAATTTTTCATTATCTATATTACCTATGACCTTGTTTAACACGTATTTATGTACACAAATATTATCTGTAAATACAAAAAAAAAAGTGGGAAATATTAAAATATACTTGATACGTTAAATAAACTGTTACTACGGATGTTAGTTAATAAAATATGCTCGGTCATCATAGCATGTCGATATTTGTGTTGAGTGTTGAGTACTTGACGTTTTTACTTTATCCCGTGCTCAATTTTAAAATATAAATACGTGAATAGTTTGTCAGTGGCGGACCTTGAATAAAATATTTAAAATATTAATATTTTTTTTTTTTACTTGTTTAAGAATTATTCATTTATTTTTTTTTATTCTTATATCGCTTTTCAAATATATTAATTATGTGTACCTAGGTAGGAATACGGTAAAATACAAAAGGATTTAAAAATATATTTTATTTTACTTTTAAATTAAATATTTCACTTATTATACGCCATTATAGTGGACGGAATTTGTTATACGTGTCAGAGGAAAACATTAGTTTGATAAAAACTGGCAGAAATAATTATTTATAGCTCAATGAAATCAAGGGTCAAGTTTTATATTTATGTGTTTTGATAAAATTCAAACTCGTTAAAAGATTTGCTGTGAAGTAGGATTGGCCGTATTTGTACCCAAATTGGAGTAGTTTAATAATTTAAACTATAGTTATCGTGAACTGTTTACTTGTTTAGTGTTCACTATTAAATAAATTATATTACACAGTCCGACAAATACTAATATCTAAAAATGACATAGTTTTAATGTCATTGCATTTGAATAGCTCTACTGCATTTCAATATGGTTTACGATCGTTGCAGTGGATCGTTAACTCGACTATCACACAAAGCTTATATGTTTTTTTTTTTAAGATCCATGATCGTAAAACCTTGGGGTTATTAAAAATATAGTGGCTCAAATTATAGCTTTTTGAAAATATAATAATAATGATAATAACATTTTATTGAGCACTGAAAACAAACTAGACGAAATTGTATAATTTTTTGTTTTATTATTATTGTTTCAGGGTTCAGATAATTCTGATCTCTTCAGGACCAGTCTGGTTTCCAGGAAAGGTAAGCAGTCCTTGAAATTTTTTAATGATGTTTATTTTATTGAACTTAACGTTTTTACAACTTTTAAATTGTTTACTATTATATTTTCTTCCTGGTCTCCTGTAGTTACTAATCTATTGTATGGTGTCGAACAAAAGTTAAAATTAATATGTTATATAATCTTTATACATAAATAATCTTATAAAATTGAAAATATTTCTTCTGAATATTAATAGTATTTATAATTATTGAACTATTGAAATTATTAAATAGCTGATTTTTGTATAATTTTGCACTACTTAAAAATGTATTTATTTAAATACTATGTTTCAATGAATTAATTGTTAAATTACTAAAATCTTTCTAGATGAATTACCAGGAAGAATTTCTTCTGAACCTACCCAGAATTTACCTGCTACGGTGTCTAAAGAACCTATATCAATAACACCACCAAGTCGACAACCTACTCCCCCATTAGTTAATGGTATAGAGTTTGATAACCATTCGACGCCTGAAACAACAACAGCATCTACGACTCATATTAGGCCCTCACAAAATCCTATGTTACCACCTCCTTCAACTACTCCACGGGCTCTACAGGTGTCTCAACCAAAATGTCCATCTCCTACGATACCTCCAGCATCCACGCCCCCTACTACACCTAAACCTCAAAGTACACATGTGAATGGACATGAACCTTCAACGACTCCTGCTACAGTTACGTCGAGGTATTCCCCAGTAAGTAAAATTTTCATACGTTTTAATATACAATAGTTAACATTTTATTTAATTAAAATGTGAGTTATTTTCGTACATATAATATTACCTGACTTTTTTAATTCATCTCTCCCGATTACACAAAAATAACGATTAGATAAATAGTAAAAACGTCAGAGAAAAAAAAGTTTATTATTTATTAAGTTTAGTATCAAATAATAAAACAAAATAGATTACATTTGTATTATATCTCTGTTGGTTATAACTTCGGATTTATTTTCATTATACAATATTCAATAGTGATATCTAAATGTTATTTCATAACTCATTATAATATTTTACTTATCTTTCGTAATTTCGTAAATAATATCCTTATCGTGGTCAATAATTAATAATATTTTTGAAAGTTGGAATACTCAGTTCACACATTTTTTGGGACATTCTAAAAATCGGAAATTAATTTACAAAATAAAATATATCAAAAATCGAGCGTTGATGAAGCTAAAATAGTATTAAACGATTATTGGTTAACAAATTAATAATAAATGAATCTATTATAATGGTGCACCTAAATAATAAAGTATAAGTATAAGTATTAAATACCTCAATAATCACTATTGGAGTATAAATATTGTTTTAGGAAAAGAATTGGAATTTATGACCAATAGTAATATGATACAGTTTTAATCTATTTTTTTCAGACTTTTTGTCCTTTTGTGATTTTTCAATTGTTTTTTTTTTAATGTAAACTACCACCCGTTACAAAGTCTACACTTATTCTAGTAAATATATTATTAATTATTATTGAATATATATTTTAATAGTAAATATATTTTGACCTAACAAGTAACAACACTTTTTTATTCATCATCAGCTTTATAAAATAGTAATAATTATGTTAAGATAAGTAACGTACTAACATGTTTCATCAAATATTGTTACCTATTTTATATATTATATTATACATACATACTTCAATGAAGGTATTATATAACACCATCTTCTTAAGAAATTAAAGAATTTACTGGGTTTTAATAATTTATAAGCAACATTATTTTGAACTGTATTTTATTCTGTCAACCACGTAAACATAGTTATAAGCTATAGTATTTAAGCTCTGAAATCCATTATGTATTCCATACACTCATTTCAAGTTTCTCTTTATAGTTTATACCATTATTGGCAAAGATTTTTTTTATCATTATTATATTATTATCGCGGGGCATTTATACAGTACTCTCACCGGTACACTACCCGGATTGCCATGGAAACGAGTTCATCTTAAATCTATCGTGTTCATCGTCACATCAGTATTCTCTGTAAGAAATAAACCAGCTTTAAGCTGCCTAATATTGCACTTGTTTGGATAAAAAAACATGTAGGTATACACTCGAGAATCATTTTCATGTATCGCACGTGCATCATAATTATCATTATGGTGACTTATAAATAAATATAATAAGTATGATTGCCTTATAAGAGATGTTGCCGAATAGAAGTTAATAATATTATTTTGTTAATTACTACCAGTTATTCATTATAAAAATATAAACTTATAGAGTGTAATACATATTTCTACGTACATTTTATTTATCCATAATGTATAATATATTATATAATCTTGCTAGTTAGGTGTTTATTTTTAATTTAATTTCTATGTTTTATTAATTTACTATAGTTAGTACGATTAATATAAGTATATTGTATTGCGTGCACTAAATATTTAATGCTATAATATAGTCTATACATAGCGAATACTAAAAATATAGCTTCTCGCTTAAAATTTAAAATTTCAATACTTATCATTTTAATTTTTAAATTGTTCTAAAATAATGTTTTTAATATTATTTATAGGTACCATCTTCAGGGCTCAATAGTCCTCGAAATTTTTCAACTAATCCGGTACCAACACCACCTACGAGTGCGCCATACCAAACACCGCCTCAAGCGTGTCCATTGTCTTTGAGCATAACAAATTCTTACATTACTCCTTCAACGTCTCAACATCCAGTCTTATCCCACGCAGCATCGAATTACATCCCAAAATCTTCTAATCAAACACCATCTCCTCACCAACACAGTTCTCCTTATATGCAAAAACCAAACATGATATACCATCCACCTCACGGTGCTCCTTATCCCTCGCCTAATTACCATCCATATAAATCTACCCCGTCGTTATTGGCTACAGTGTCTAGTGCATATATGCCATATTCTACCCCCCAGTCATCCACAGTGACTGTATCTGCTTCTTCTACGATTCCTAGCACATCCAGTAGTCCGATAACAACGACAACGCCAGTAAATAATTTTAGCTCTCCGTACCAACCTCCTGTCCATCAACAACATTATCCACCGTTGTATGCTCCGTACAGAAGTACACCATATATGCCATCTGCGCTATCAAATGCAGCCGTAAGTATTGTTTTGATTATCAAGTATAACAATAATTATAGGTATAAAACTGTATATTTAAAAAGTTAAAAATTAACTTGTCGATCTTTCTTTTGATGATAATATAAATAATTTCTCAGTTTATTTTAATGTCATAATTAAGTACTTTGCACTTTGCAAGTAAAAATTTTCCAGTAGTTTTCAAAACCACCGTTACAAAAAAAAAGAAAAATTAAGAAAAAACGGGAATTTCACTGAATGTTAACATTTTAATTTTCTATACACCATGTAATTTTGAAAATATTTTGATTCGTTTTAAGCTGTTAACAGACAATTTAAAATTTTAATATTTTAGTTTTTTTCTATAATTGTCAATACAATTTTATTTGTTGGATAAAAATGCGTGAAAATTTAATACAAGGCTCCTGATATATTGCTACAAAATCAGTTGAAAAATATTAAAAATACATAGGTACAATTTTTTTTATAAGCATTTATCAAATTTTAAATTTAATAATTATTTTGTAGTTAAAAATGTATAAAATGTTCAACTTTTACATCTAAGGATTGAAAATGTAAAACAAGGTTCCACGTTAATAGGTTTAAGGTTATATAGAAATTACTTTATTCACAATAATATCATTAAATATACCTATATATCATATGGTGACTCTGACTGGGCGTCTTCGCTTAGAATCGTTTTCTAATACAATGATATTATATCATTGAATTCAAATTTAACACCATCCATTGAAGTGACCCACTTGTAACCTACTGTACAGCAGAACGACACCCACTTGCCCATCTTTTTTTATTGATCTTAAGTATCAGCAACTATGACTATTTGCATTTTGTGGCGAGTTCGGTTAGTTGAGGAACACGTGTATGTGGGGCGAGGATTCGTCACTGAAAACCCATGTGGTCACCCATCTGGAAACTAGCGATGCCGGCCTATGCTTGACCTCAGAACACGTTAATGACGGAGGCTAAACACCTAGCCAGTAGCCACACGAGGACCCATAATTTTATTTTATAACAATTCGTTTAGAAAATTGAATTTGTTTTAATTTATTTATAACCCTTATTTACCCATGCTTTAAAATACCGAAATACCTGGATTATTCAAATTACGTTGTTCTCTGATAATAAATTTATAATTATAAGAAATTAAGAAATACTGAGCAAAAGTGCTATTGACTTTATTATTATAATATGAATTATACTTGATCATAAATCAATCAGTGATATGGCTCATTACTCATTATTAGGGCAGAGGACTTGTAGCTCTAAAAAAGCTCTAAATATGCAAGCACTTATGCACTAAAAAACCCCATAATATGCAATTAAAATATGCACTTAAAATTTTTTTTAGCCTTTTTATTTAAATAAAAATTCCGCTGAACTGACTGAGACTAAATACTAAAATATTGATTCTTGTCGTGTCTAGAAACGTTTTATAAATAAATCCTAATCGAATAAAAGCCCGCATGGTGTACACACGTATCTGTGGTGGTGATGTCGTAGGTATAGTTTACGTTAAAATCGTTATCGCTTCTAAGAAAAATGTGTGCCCGAGCACAGTCAAAAACCATATTAAACGACAAAAATTAAAAATAAATAAATTTTTATCCAAACATTTTGACTGTATTGTTTGAAAAAAAAATGTCACTGTAGAAAAAATCGATTCAAGTAAAATATGTCTCAAAAAATATAAAATAGCTTATAAAAGTGTAAAATATGCCCTAAAAACCAAAAAAACGTAAAATATGCATTTATATGCACAATAAAATTTCAAAACTAGCTTTGTGGAAGCATGAAACGTATTTGTTTCGCACTCTGCTATTTTTGTGGCTGTGCAAAAAAAAATATGGAAATGCTACAAGTCCTCTGCCCTACTCATTATATACGGGAGAGAGTCAACATACTTTTAACTTAAAGCTAAATGAGTGTAATATTATTTATAATCAATACCGTGTAGTTGGTATGCATATAAAATATAATTATTAATTGTATTAAATATAATATTAATTATAAAATACAAAATATAATAATGTAATAATTGTATTGACCTTAAAACTAATTCAAACCATTTATGTAGCTTATTTATTATTAAGTACACAATTATTTGAAATCATTTTAAACTTGTACAGAAAAATACCGATTACATTAGTACATTACCTAAAATAACTTTCAGACTATTCATATTACAGTACACTAGAAATTTTCTATTAAAATAACTTAGCAATTGTTGGCAAAACCATCTACCCCAAATACTCGTATTATGATATTGATATTTTAATGTTTTAATTTTTAAACGATTATTTTGAGTATGACTTAAAAATATAATCAACATTCAACACGATTGATTGAAAATAATATTTCCTATTACCTATTAAAAACGTTACGTATTTGTATGCTTAATATCAGTCGAATAATATTTAAATTTATGTCCTATATACACCTAAGCATTTATAAACGTTTATTATTATTATTATTGCTAATTAATAACGTTTTTTACCATAATTTAACTGTTATTTGAAAATACATTGGGCATAGTTTTGACTATAGTTAGATAGACCATCGTTTTGCTGTTAAACTTAACGGCATCATTAATATTAATAGAGTTTCAACGGAGCAGAAAACGGGCTTGTAATTAGGATGCCGAGGGAAACGTTGCACGGAATTTGTTCGCTTCACTCTTTTCTCTCCCACTTTATCTCTTTCCCTTCTCTCTACCATGGGTACGGATGTTAATTTTTCCATTCGGCTGCTCCGACGAGAAGTCTAGAGAAGGTTAATGATAAAACTGCATGATGGCGGCGGTAGTGGTACCTCCTTAATTACTACAACAGAGTCCTCCTCCCCTTACCTTGTACATAAAGCTCACCGCTTATCGACTTTTGCTCAGTCTGATATAAACTTTTGGGTTTCCACGAACCTACAGTTTTAATTTCCCCTCGTTAAACACTTAAAAACTCCTTCGTGTAATCGTGTATGTACAAACAAACCCTTACCTTTATACCTAATTATTTATTAATATTATTAAAATTTGTCTTGTCTAAAAATTGTAAATATCTTTTGGGTTTTATTATGGTTTAAAACTTGTTATTATTATTGTTATTGTCTATTGAGCAGTTTCTCTTTAAGTTATGATGATAAAAACGTTCTTATTAAAATGGTTAAAACGAAATCGATCATATACCTTTAAAGCTTTATCATAACATAGTACCTATTCCTATATAGTTTTTTTACTCAAAATATTATAAAACCAGTATTTCTTTATTTAACAGATACCAAAATTGAATAATATTATTTTCTTTACTTCTATGGTGATATTATAAATACCTAATTAGTAATTTATTTTTATATAGAAAACAGAAGTACTGTGTGTAGAATTATTTTTTGACAAAAACATCGCATGTTATATAAAATTATTAGTCATTGGTTATTATTTATTAATTATTAAGATATTATATCGTACATTATGGTTATTTACTTATAAGCCAGCATTACCGCGTGCCGTAGAACGGCGTGAATAAGTTCATGGTATATCGGACGGTATCCGGACAAGTTCCCCCGGACATTTTCCCCCCGACTTTTTTGGCGTAGTAGGACCATTTTCCCCCGAAAAATGGTTCCTATGCGGACATTTCCCCCCTTTTTTTTAATTATGTTTTTTCATAAATTTAATCAATTATACCTACTACATTAACTTTATAAATGTATACTATAAATTTCATTTTTTTTTTTTCATAAATATAATAAGACATACGAAAAAATGGAAATAAAATAAGTTAAAATAGGTTAAAAATTCATATTTTTTTTTTTCATAAATATAATAAAAACGTAAAGTAATTGTGTATATAGGTAAGTAAAATAGGTTAAAAATTTCATTTTTTTTTTCATAAATATAATAAGACATAAAAATAGTACTATTATTTTTTATTTAGACAATCTTTTAAATATAATATTACTATTGTTTTATTGTTTCAAGTAGTTGAATTGATCAAAAATATACATCTACTATAATAGGTAATTATAGTATAATTGATTATATTTATAAAAAAAATTATATTTTACTGAAAAAAAATAATTTCTTATTAATAATAAATATAAACTTAAAAAAAAAATGGGGGGAAAATGTCCGCATCGAATTTATATTGGGGGGAAAATGTCCTACTACGCCAAAAACAGTCGGGGGGAAAATGTCCGGGGGGAAATTGTCCGCCATTCTATCGGACATACCAATCATACCTACCTATGTTATGCCAAATAGTTTCAAGTCTTAATGTATAGTTTTTTTTTAATTTAATTTTTAAGTTGTTGGAGGATAGTTATTTTTCGTTTAAATATTCAATTTTGTCAAAATGAAAACATGAAATGTCTAGAAAATAAATTGTCAGTGTTTTTGATATTTTTAGAATTCTGTAAGACCAACTTAAAAAGAACTTTATATTAAATATCAAGCTTAAGCTATTACAATTAAGAATATTATGAATAATTTTTAAATGTACTTGACAAACGAATACAATTATGTTATTAAACGCTCATAAAAAAATAATGTGGCTACGCTTAATCTTTTTCTAAATTCCGTTTAAGGGGCCTGCACGCGACCTGTTTTTTTGCTCAAAAACATGCCTTACAGGAAAAACTCTCACGCCTCGTAGATTGGTCCGATTTCCGTAATTTTTTTTTTGTTAGATAGAGGAAGACTTCTTACAGGGCGCATTGGACTTGGATTTTCAACATTATTTTTCTAAATCTTATGTTACAAGTTTGAATTTAATCAATTTTTACAACTTTTTAGTTTTTGTATTATTTTTTGTTTTTAGCGACGTAATCAAAAATCGAAGTCCAATGCGCCCTGTAAAAAATATTCCTCTATCTAACAAAAAAAAAATTACGGAAATCGGACCAATCTACGAGGTGTGAGAGTTTTTCCTGTAAACTGTGTTTTGACCGATATAATACACCCTATCAACCCCCCCTAAATAGGTATTGGGTAGTAGATTAGTGGAAAAGTCTTATAATTGAGGTGGCAACTAAAATATAAAATTTAATTTTCAAATTTTATAGAATTGCGGAAAATTTGAAAAATCGCGAGCAGGCCCCTTAAAAAAAAACACTAGAAATCGTATACCTATTACACTTACTTTTAAGCTTCCGGTGTTATAATTAAAGTGGTGTGAAAGTGAATACCACTGGTGTACATTAGGTGTCATATGGGTCACTAATATTTGTGTACTTGTGTTAATTTGAATTCAACAATATTATATTATTGTACCTGTACGAATAACGATTCTGAGTGAAAACTGTCTTGTCAGTCTATTTATAACTTTATACGTTAAGTTTATTTTATGATATTATAAAAGTAATTTATTTTGGTATTAGTAATACGGTAGGTTAAATTAATTTTTGCTGAAAACATTGCATTTAAAAATGTCATTGTGTAGTGTATAAAATATAATAATAATATTACCTACTTATATGTTTCAACCACCCACGAATCATATTTTTTAATGACTAAGAAATAACTTAAATTGTTATTCTTCGTCTAAATTTGAACTTAAAATTCTTATATAAATGCTATTATTTTTGAACTGAAATTATAAAAACGTATAAGTATAAAATTGTATTAAATTTTAATGTTTTTTGACCGAGAGAAAATTTTTTACCGTGTGATAATACTTAAATACTTCTCATGCCTATAAATATCTCAAAAAGAGTCAAAATATTTAAAAAGTTTCTTGTAACTATGTTATTATTATTTTTTCATGTTGGACCAAAAAAAATATGGATTTTGTCAGAAATTGGTTTTACGTAAAAATTCACGTTTTTTCCGACGGTTTTGAAAACTACTGTCGATCTTCTGTACAGTAAGTTCTTAGTGGGGGGTCACTGTATAATGGATGATATTAAATTTGAACTTCATATAATATCATTGTATACGAAAAAGGATTCTGAGCGGAGACGGGTCGTCATTGTGTATATTTTATATTATATTTTATATATTGTTATTACTTATTAGTTATTACTCATATTAGGTACTTATTATTAATACGGTAGCTTATAAGTTAAATTAATACTATAAAATTACAACAAAATAACTAAATCATTATTTTGGTTATTTAAATTCGTCTAAATTTGAACATCAAATAACTATAAAAAAAATACTGTTTTTTTTTTTATATTTTGCTTGCTATAACCTACTTACTTGGAACCTTCTTTAAATTTTAATCTAACAGTTAAAAATTATAAATTTTTAACTCAACAATTATAATTTGACATGTGTCAAATCGAATTAATGCTTAAAAAAAATGCTCCATACTTTTAATATTTTCAATGTGTAAATTTCTACCTGAATAAGACTTATGTTTTGAACGTTCAAGTTCATTTACAAAATTTATGTAGCGATTTCTTATTTTGCTGTATTCAAAAACAACAAAGTAGAACTGAACTATCACCAATATATGTTTTATAATTCTTAACTTATGAACTTTCAAAATTGACAATTAACATTTTCATTTTATTAATTTTTTATAATTCAAAAAATGATTTGTTGGGTCTCGTGAATTTAATTCAAGCCTGATATGTGACAATAACAGTTGAAAAATATTTAAAATAATTAGGCACAATTTTTTTATAAGCATTTTAAGTTCGATTTTTGACAACATTTATCAAATTTAATATTTATTTTGTAGTTAAAAATTTATAAAAATTGCTACATGTGAAATCGAGTAAAAGTTTGAACTCGAAACGTTCATAAAAATTTAATTTATCTTATTCAGGTTAGAAATTTTTTTTTGATAAAGCCAAGATGTACAAATTTATGAGAAATCTTGAATTTAATTTTCAAGATTTTTTACCAAGCAAATGCAATTTAATTGATATTAAAAGAATAATTAAAAAAATGGGAAACTGAAATTATCCGTAAACAATTCAAAACAAATCAAATTGTTTGAAAATTTTATCGTGTATGCTACTATAAGTCTATAAACAACCAGGGAAAATTTCATGTATGATGTATCTACAGTAATTTGTTTTAGAATTATACCAAAAACCAGAATCGTTTTTGTCGAAATCCGATTTTGCGTAAAAACTCCTGTTTTTCCATAATTTGTATTTTATTTTTCTCAGCGCTTTTGAAAACTACTAGGGATTTTATACTTTTGACCCCCCAAAGTACCAACTAGATTCACTTTACTATCAGTCCTCAAAATTTTTTTTTAAAAATAGATAGATAAATAAATAGATCATTGAAAAATCAGAATCTAAAATTATATGAATAATCAAAATAAATAATACATTTTTGTTATTTTGACGAATTATTTAAGAATGTATTGTAAACTTTTTATTTATTTATTTTTTATTTTTGTTGCAAAATAGGCCCAGTCACCCAAAAAAATTAAAACAAATTGCTGATAATGAAGTAGTAATATTATTAAAAATTTGATTAAGAGAGTTAAATGATAAGAAAGATACTTATTAGCTAGGTACTCTAAAACGTTTATAACAATAATAAAAAAAACTGTATATATATTTTTGACATTGTTTAATTGTTGAAATGATTTTTCAAGCTTATGTACAAACTAAAATGTTATATTACATAAATCCAAATAAAGTAAAAAAATTCAGTTGTCGTTAAATAGCACAAAAAGAACCAAAATACTATATAATAATTAATTTCTAGAAAATGTCATTATAAATATTGAAAATTAAGGTGGACAGAGCCTCACGTTTTCATTGCATCGTGAAAATTTATTATTTACCCTATCATATCGTATTTGTTGTTTTCACATGCCACAAATTTACATTTTCTATTTTAATAAAAAAAAAAAACGTGTAATTGTAAAATATCTAGTCTTTACAGTTATTCATTTTTGAATTACAACAATAGAATAAAATCTATCTTGTCAACAATTAGTTAAGCATAATTTTATAATGTACTAGACATTTTATATTTTACTGCTCAAAATATCCAATATAGGGCCAAATTTCTATTAGAAACCATTAACCACCCACAAAGTGTAAGATTTTTTTATTACTCTGCATAGTGATGACAGACATCATTGTGAATCATTACATTCAATGGACAATGGAACTCACAGAATTTAAAATATTATATTAATAACTAATTTACCTTTTGATATTATTTAGTGTTAAGTTACACTCAACACACTGTTGTGATGGAGGTAAAATTATAATGACTAGATTGGTGGTGCTGTTTAATAAAAATGATTTAGTTTTGATTAATGAAACTAAAGTATTTAAATTAATTGCATAATTTTAGTTTTATATTTTGCACCATTTTTTATTAATAATTTTTATGATAATATAATTTTTTTAAATTTGTTTAATTTGTATAGAGATTAAGTCGAACTTCTCCAATGTCTGTGATATCAACAAAATCAAGTGTTGTGTCAGCACCTCCTCTTGTTGCACCAACAGTTGCTGCTGCTTCTACTTCTACTACCACTACTACGTCAATTTTGAGTGGACACCCTGTGTTAGGTAGAGGGCAGTCGCCACGAGGACCAAGTCCAAACAGAGATCGTGATAGTTATATGTAAATTTGATATATTTAAATAATTTTTTTATCCAATTAACATGTATTAATTAATTTTGTAATATTAATAGTTTAAACCGAAGTAATGGCCCTCCATTAAATTCTCCTTCGTCGTTCAATACTTCATCATTAGCATTACCTCCTGCTGCTACTCCAACATTAGCACCTACTGTTTCATCTTCAGCGCCTTCTAGTCTTGTATATAATAAACCACAATTATGGGGTCCAATGGGGTAAGTACACAAGTTTATAACTACAGCATAAACTATGAGCCATAAAATAATGAAATATTTTTCTTTTCTTAGAAACAACAGTATTGCGACATCTACAATGGCAAATATTACTCGACAACATCCATCATCATACCCCCCTCCGTTATTTTCTTCACCGGTATCTACCGCTACGTCACAATCTTCTTCATTGCCATCAGCACCACCTGCTCATAATCCCTTTTCCGCTGAATCTTTATTTCAATCAAGTAAGTTAAAATAAAAAATATCACTTGTATTTAGGATTCTAAAATGATTTTGGTTTAGATCAAGCTGACATGTTAAGGAGAGAACTAGACTCAAGGTTTTTAGCATCATCACAAGAAAGAACTTTGGGTGTTGGTGCACCTTACTTACGGACAGAAATGCACCATCACCAGCATCAACATACTCATGTCCACCAACACACAGCAACACCACTAATCCCTGCTGTAGCTGCAACTACTACAACTATACCAAATGCTTCAACAATACCACCAGCACCAACTTCGGCATTATATCCTCCTCCACTGGTTAGCATATATTAAAAAAATATAAAATAATTATTATATATAGATATAATTAATATACATGTGTAAATATTTATAGTTTAAAGATATACCCAAATTGGGAGGAGTTGATTCACCGTTTTATAGGCAGAATTTATTGTCTGGTAGCTATCCTGGATTTACACCAGGCCTATTGCATTCTTCAATGGGTCACACACCATTTACACCACCAAATCATATGCCGACATTTACACCAAAAGTAATTATGCACTGTCATTTGACAACATATACGGGTTCTTATACTGTATATAATATAAATTTAATAAACAGTATACATATTATATTCTAGACAAAGCAATATTTCCATTAATATTTAAATCTATTACTTTTTTTCTTTTGATTGATTCCTAACACCAGGATAATTTAACAAAATTATATTTTTAATTTTATTATTAATATTGTAAATATTATATTTTATACTCCTAAAAATATCTTCTATTTAGCAAAATATAATTAATCTAATTACTAAATACAAGGGTTTGGAACTTAAAGCATTTATATTTTTGTTTTGCTTAACTTAAAATTGAGCAGACTGCAAGATAAATAATTTAAGTCATATTACTACAATTTCAAATTTGGAAGCGCTCATTTTGCTTATTCCTGTGGTTGTTTTTACTAAAAATGCTTGTTTCTAGTGTTTTAGAAGCTTAATTTGCTTTTTACATATTTTCTATAACTTTTTCCTTGTTATGTGGTTATCATAACATGTAGCCTTTGTGTTCTATTACCTTGTAATAATACTTAAATTGTCTTTGTTAATTTTTGCTATCTATTGTGTCGGTCGTGGATGGCCATGAACAAAAAAAATATTCAAAATTTCAAATGTTCTAATAATAATGCTGCAAGAAAAAAAACTAATTTATTCCCGGTATACTACCAATACCAATACCATCAGTTTGATCGACACAACAAAATATGATTAGTCGATTCTTTGTCTAGTTTGTTGTGTTGTGATTTTTTTTATTTAAGTTTAAGGGGAAGGGGTTAAAATTTAGTGAGATTGCTTATTATGTTTGTTTTTATGTTTTTAAGTGCTTATTTTGATAATTTCAGGTGCTTTAGGTCCCAAACCCTGTAATGATTACTAAATATTGTAACGTTAATTAAACATTTTATTATAATTTTACATTTAATTATCAATATTTATTTATTTTCTAGCAGTTGACTGATACATCTAAGCCTACAAAGTCAAGTGTAAGTGAATAAAACCCCTTGAATCTAACCTTAAATTAATTTTATAATTATATTTCAATTTATAGAAACCTGGAAAATGGAATGCAATGCATGTGCGGTTAGCCTGGGAAATTTATCATTATCAACAGAAACAACAAGTTGCAGAAACCAAAAATGTTGCAAACAATCCTGTGCCAAAGACTGAATTATTAAGGCCACCCACACATTTATTTCCACCTAGCCGACCACCACACGATCTCTCTCCGTTTACATCGCCTCATCATCATCATCATCCGGGATTACCTCCGGGCTATCCACCTATGGGTAATTAATATTTAATATTTTTCTTGTCTATAGATATATTTTAATATCAATACAATTTATATTGTAGGTCCTGCAGCAATGTTTACAAGGTACCCGGCTGGATTTCCACCAATATCCTCATTCCCACCCAATCCCATGAATGATCCATGGGCTAGGTTACAGCCTTCTCGTGGGCTACCTACACAAAACTCAGCATACGGGCCTTCTGGAGGTTGGCCAATAAAACCAGATCCTGTAGAAACCGAACGAGTAGAACAGCAACAACGAGAACGTGAAAGAGAACGGGAGCGAGAGCGTGAACGGGAGAGAGAACGTGAAAAAGAAAGGGAAAGAGGTCGAGAAAGAGAAAGAGTGAAACGCGAAGAAAAGAGAAGACATATGATTCAACAGCAGCAATTGCAGCATCAACAACAACAACAGCAACAGCAGCAGCAGCAGCATCAACAACAGCAGCAGCAGCAACATCAACATCAACAACAACTTCAACATCAACAGCAACAACAACATTTACAACATCAACATCAGCAACAACAACAACAAGTAGCTAAAATGAGAGAACGATCACCTCTAAAAGATCCTAATTTGATGTCCAAAGAAGATGATTTAAATAATATGATGTTGGGTCGTATTCCACCTCCATCTCATTACCTTCCTCCGCCTCCAAGACATCCTCAAAGAGCTACACATCTACCAACACATTTTTCACCATGGGATCAGTATAGGTGAGTACAACTATATTTTAATTAATTATATATTATTTAAAACAGAATGATAATTAAACATTAATCCATCATTAGGCTTAACATATTTTCACTTTTTTCTTTGTGTCTTGAATCATAATTTGAAATATTTGTCTTTTATTTGATATATTTTAGATATGATTCTTTGAGGTTCAGTCCATTAATTGCTGCAGCTGCTTATAGAGCTGAAGAAGAAGAACATAGAGCCAAATTATTTGGTTACCACCCTCAAGCCCATTTAAGACCAAAAGACCCATCTCCTAACACTCATCGATCAATGCCTCCAGATATGCAATTACCTAAAAAAGAAGAATCTTCTCAATCTAGGTAGTCCAAAACTTAGTTTTCGAAATTGAATATATTTTATTTTTATAGTCAAAATATTGACAAAATAAATTGTACGTTAATTTATTCTTTTATCTTTTAATGTCTCACCACTACCCTTATTAGTGTCCTTTAAACATAACTATTCTTCTATGTATACATTTTTATTTTACATGTAAAATGTAATGAACAATTTTTACTTATTACAATTATTATTTCATGTAATTTCTAAAAATTAATTATGTGCAATTAATTTTATTTCATTTATTTGTATTGAATTAAAATGTAAGTAATACCATTTTAATAAATGTAATCTTTGGTTAATGAAATATGAATTTTTTTAATTCTTAAATAATATTGTATTCGTGCAATCAAGTTCTTATTTTTCAAAAAAAAAGTATATAATATATATATAATATAACCTATACATAAATATTAAATATGTAAAACCTTTCAACATTCTTTGTAATAATTATTTAGGACACACAGGGTTAATTTTTATTATCTGAACTGATTTTTTGACCCTTGATATAATATATTTATGTCACGTCAGAGTTGTATACTACCAAATTAAATTTAAAAATAGATAAGAAACCCAACATTTTTAATAAATATTTAATATTATTTGTAAAGTGTTTTAATGAATTTTCATTGCTTTTGTTCCTATTATTGTTTAATATAATATATCTGTGAATACATAATTTCTACATTGAAATAATGTTAATTATAATAAATTTAAAAAAGAAATAAACCCCATTATTTAAGTTACCAGTTAAAAATAATGATAATTGTATTATTATTATTAAGTTAATACTTAACAAAGTAAGTGTTTCGTGCATTGTGTTTCGTAAAGTATAGACACTTATTAGTAATTTTGCTGCATTAACTTAAAATTTATTGTACATAAGAATTATACTGATAAATGGAAAAATAAACCTGTGTCTTTCTGTCTACAATATACGATTAAGTATTCTATTTAGTATATTATTTAACAAAGCAGATTTACATATTAATTTGTCTATATTGATGAATCGTTTTGCACGATAATCAATATTCTATTTTAATCTCATTCTAGTAATAGTTGCAAATAAATGTACATATTATATTTTTATGTTTTATTGTCTAAGCTTAGAAAGCATTGTGTTATATTACAAAACTGAGTATAAAACTTATTTCTATTATATTGTGATTTATCTATATGCATATTATGTTACGATGATATCATTATGTTATTTATAGAACTTAATTGTTCTTTTGAGAATTTGTGAAAGAAAACTTTTTGTCGGTTATCTTTATATTTCATAATAAAATTATAAAACAACTTTATATTTCATCCAGCTACATGAATGTATAAATGGGTTATTTTTATTTTTATAACCATAATTGATTATTTGCTTTTTTCAATTAATTTCCACATTTTAGAATGCAATTGTTTTTCATAGTTTTAATTTGTTATTTTATTTTACGTGCCAGTGATAAGATTTTCAACCAAAAAATGCTGTTAGAACATTATATATGGTTATAACTTATAATACACATAAAACAAAAACTTTGTAATTATGTATAGATTTAAATATAAATATTTTATTGTGATTCTAATGTTAATTAAGTAAGTGTATATAAACTTGTAAAGTGATGTACAATAATACAATTTTATGTACCACATAACTGTTTTTTATTTCGGAATACTACAATAGGACAATAATAGTTATATTATTTATATTAATTTTTCATTGCTTCCTTCCAATAATCATCCATACATGCTATGGACAGCAGAAGCATAGCCGCTGAGTTTTCCAAATTTTATATTTTTATGTGGTGCTTTCATGGGGTTTTTAAATATAATCTCATTAATTTTCCCACGTGTTTCATGCACAGAAGACTGAACTACAAAAGCGAGTAAGCAAATTTGACAAAATGTCTTGCCGCCGCCTCTTTTTCAGTTTTATATATTAATTTATATTTTATCGTCTAACCCACGAGAATTAACTACATTTAAAAAGTATAATATATTATGATATTATAATCAGTTTTTAGTAAAATATCTTATTAGGATAAATTTCAAGACTTAGATTATAAAATAAAATTGTTTCCATTTTTGATTCTGAACAGAATGATGAATATATTCTATAATATATACTATAATATACCTATAATATATTAATAATATATTTAACAATGTTGTTTTTTTTTTTTTTTTGGCATCGCCTTTTGAGTTAGTAAAAGTTATTAGATATTCAACTTTTATATCTTTTCTGCAATGAAAGTGTATTAAGTTATTACTTTGGCCTTGTAAAAATTATGGAAAACTGAATATTTACTCAAAACCTGTTTTTGATACAATCATTATTTTTTTTTATTTCAATAATAAATAACCATTTTTGATATTTGACATTTTTGCAAAATGTATATCTTAGTATTTTCTTTAGGTATATGAGTATAGTTTTCATAATATTTTGACTCTTTTTGAGTTATTTACAGACATTTGACATTTTTGAATATTTTTTTCGGTATGTCGTTAAAAAATGTTTGCTTAGTCAAAAAACTTGAAAATGTAATACAAGATTCCTCATAAGGTTGTATTATAGCTATTTATAAATATCAAAGGTACATTGGCACGATTTTTTTAATATAAATGTGTTTAGTAATAAGGCCTTTTTTGGACTCAACTTGGGACATTTTTCGGGGGGGGGAGGGAGGCTAGAATTGTATCAGCACTAATTCCCCTTCATTAAAAACTATATAATATTACATGGGTACATAATTTACCTCTCCCAATTCCTAGCCACTGGGCTTATCAATTATACGCTATATTTAATTGTTATAAGTTATAACATACAGTTGTTTATTGATAGCCTGAACTTTGAACTGTTATTTTTCCGAATCGTTGCCTTTATTATGTGTAATTTATTATTGTTGTTGTCTTTAATCTTTATAGCTATTTGTATATTTACATAACCAGTTTAACTGCAGTAACTAACGGTTTCGTGTAGTCCCGTTTCTTCTTATTCATATATACAATGAGTTGATGTATGAACTGCAATAGTTATAGTTGTAGACTGGTCTAGTTGTGTATAATTATTATCTTTTTGGTTATTTTTTACCTATATATTATACATAAATAATAAATATCGTCTGTCAGATAGAAATCAAAAATGTTCATCAATAAGTATTTGAGCAAGTACGTATTCCAGTCTGTCAATCTGTTTTGTTTTGTAAGTACCTACATCTATAATTATAGTCTAAATAATAAATTATTTTATTAGTAGGTATAGTATACTATAGTATTAATAAGTATTATAATATACTAATATCGTAAACTTCGAACATTTGAGCAATCGAGCAATTCAGACATGTACTGATTTTATATTATAATACATTAATACGTATTTCTGACATGTGTCTAGTCTTTCTTATAAATTATAATATTACATAATACAGGGTGATTCATCGAGCATGCTCACCACCATTTTTTTCCTTTAATAATAAATTTATTCAAATTCTGAATTTTTAAATACACTCAAAAGACCATATTTTCGAATTATTGAATTTTTTTGTTCTATACATTATACCTACTTAAGGAGTGTCCTGTGGCGATACAAAGTACAAACTTCTGTTTTTCAAATGAGTACCCTCTCAGCTCTCTCTTCTTTTTTACTGTACCTACCAAATGTGTATATATTGTAATTACATATAGAAAAAATAGTTATTAGTAGATATTTTTTTTCGAACATAGTGATGTGGCTAATTCATATTTCTAATGAGTAATTTCTTAGTTATTAAAATGTTCGTACTAAGGATCTAAGGAATAAGGATAACAGTCCTTAAAAATGGTTTTGCACAAATATCAACTAGATGTTAAATGGGATCGAGTATTTATTTACTTGGGCCATTTTTACAAACATTTTATTGATAGATTAATATTAATGACTACAATTGTCAAATCACCGGTGGGCGTCGCCCGATTGCGGTTCAAAGTAAACTTTTTTTTACCTTTAACCTATACCGATCGCGGCCCGCACATAGCAGGTAGGAATTTACTATTTATACAAATCAAAATTTTTTTAAAAAAACATGGAATTATGGAAATATCCAATTTTAATTTTTTTTTAAATAATAAGTTTTAAAAATCTACCTCCAACACTATAATTATTTTAATATTTGTTTTTTTATTATTAATTGACATAATATTCATTTTATTTCATATCTTTTTTTATTGTAAACAGTTATTTAACTATTTATATATTAATATGTAGGTATATTGTATACACTATTTATGATGATGCATTTTAATGAAAATATATTTTATAGATGTTTTATTTTATTAATTATACGTTATTTTGTGAACCAATGTGTATAATCGGGTATCTCCGATCACCATATCCCCCATATCTTATAAACCCATTATACCATGGACCCTTTATCCTTAGAACACAAAGTTAAATAACTCAAAAACAATTCATACGAATATTGATTCTGATACGTCAATATTTTCAGAAAAATTATCAAATGTATAATGCTGTATATTTTACAGTTGAAAAGACGTGTTTTCATTTTAAAAACAGAAGTTTGTATCTCCACTGATACTCCTTAAGTACCTAGTAAAAAGAAGCTCAAGAATTTGAAAAATGGTTTTTAAGTAGGTATATTTAAAAATTCCAAAAATTAGATTTTGAATAATTTCATTATTGAAAAAAAAGTGGGTGAGCAATGAGCATGCTAAATGCTTGTTGTTGTCCAGAATCACCCTGTGGCCTGTATAATAAATAATTATATCTAATTATTCATGTTATTATTAATATTATGGACATTGTTTCATGTATCTGAACTATAGATATTTGGAGTCGGCATTTTGTGTATCGCGTACTTCATGGACAGAAAGTTATACAAATGGTCAGCGTTTGTTGATTCGGAACTGACCACAGTGCCTCAAGTACTGTCGACTGTCGGTCTGGTATTACTAGTCATTTCCGTCGTCTGTATGTGTGGTACCCTCAAGAACATAAA